GCCCATATACTCCGAGGGGTCATCTGAGGTCAGGAAGTCAAAACTGAGCGTGAAGGTGAGAGACCATTCAGAGGCTGCATTTCTGGGCGACATCCAGGGCAGCCCGGAGAAGCAGCAGAGGATGGAAAGTACTGTCTGCTCTTCCACCGCCCCCAGACCTGACCCACTGAGCTCCCCTGACCAGTGAGCTCGAACCATCTGGGAGACGTGGAGCTCGGGAGGTTCTAGAGGCAGGTCACCATCCCGCTGAAGGTAACGAAAAGCCTCTGTCCAGCTGGTCGCAGCTCATCTCCGCCGTCCTTCCCCAGGCCCTCACAGCCCACCCCGCTCCCTGAGACTCCACCGCTGCCAGTTCCCACCCCAGGCAGAAACCAAGTGCCGAACACTGGGTCTCTGTTTTCCCTCACAGCAGAAGTAAGCGCTCAGTAAACATCCGGGAACTACTGACGGGAAACCTCGCGCATTGAGAAGTTGATTTTGGCTCCTGAAGCGAGGTCCGGGTGGGTTTGGTGAGAGTCACACTGAGTTGGTGGAGAGAGGAATTCCGAGGGGGCAGTAGTCATGGGTCTCCTGAGGACAAGCTCGGGTGGTGGCTAGGCGCTCCGAGGCCTGCGAGGTTCGCGAGCGCGGAGCTCAGGTCTAGGAGAGGCGGGTGCGGGGTTCCGGCCTCTTTGTCTTCGTTCCCTCCGGCCAGGTCACTCTCGGAGCCGTCGTGAGTCCCTCCAGAGGCCTCCGACCGGACTAAGGCGCCCTGAGAGCGCCCTGTGGCCCACACCTGAGAGCTTCTCCCTCTCAGGCTATCGCTCAACCCGCTCGCATCTCTGCCCACCGGTCAGCCTCACCCAGTCTGGGTCTGGCTCCAGCCCGGGCTCGCCAGCCTCCCAGTCCAGCTTCCAAACCGGAAGTCAGAGTGGGTGACTCGGAAGCCAAAGGCGCATGCGCAAGGGCAGCTCCCGCGACTCTTGCGGAGCACCGGCTGCAGCCGGCGAGTGGGCCCGGCTGAGCGCGGCACACTTCCGGGACGCGGCGCGCCGACTGCTTCCCGTCCCGTCTCCCCTGCAGTTGTCTCAGCGGGTAAAGTCAGGAGGAACGGTGCGTCCAGGAGACTGTGCGCACGTTGAGAAGGGAGCGCTCGCCTACTTGGTCGCCAGCTGAGGCTCTGGAGGAGTGTGCGACGGATATAGGGATTCGAGGTGCGCCTTGGGGATGATCCACGAACTGCTCTTGGCTCTGAGCGGGTACCCAGGGTCCATTTTCACTTGGAACAAGCGGAGTGGCCTCCAGGTACTGTTCGGCTCAGAGCGCGGGAACTAGCGAGCTCGGAATGGATGGCCCCGAGCCAGCGCTTGGGAGGAGGAGTCTGAGAGAGCAAGAAGGCGGGGCTGGCAAGGACCGAGGCGTGGGGGGCGTATCCCCGGACTGGTAACCTGAGGGCTGTGCCCTAAGGGCTTAGGGATGGTTTAGACACCTGGAGAGGGTTGGGCCTAAGGGGAAAGCGGAGGGTAGACCCCCATTGGCTTTGCCTTAGGGGAGGAGGGAATCCCGGACCAGGACTAATGTTGAAGTGTCTGGGCGAGAGTTGCTGGAGAACTGGATGTAAAAATGAGAGAGGCCCTTTCTCCCATCTTCATGCTTGCACAACGTTTTAAACTGAGTTTTGAAAGTTAGACAAAATACACAGTGCCTAATATACAATATGGAGAAGGAAATGGCAACCCACTCCAGTATTCTTGCCCGGAGAATCCCGTGGATGGAGACTGGTAGGCTGCAGTCCACGGGGTCGCAAAGAGTCGGACACAACTGAGAGACTTCACTTTCACTTTACAATAAGGATTCAGCCAGTTTTGTTGAATGAAAAAGTGTTTTCCTTATTACTCCTTGCCGGGAAAATTTCTACACTAAGAGATTTGGAGCGGGGGAGGTCTTTCATGTATCCAGGGATATTCAAGGGAGCTATGTATGTACTATATGGTTTACCTGTATGCTTTAATCTTCACAACCACCTATCTCCATATCAGAGATTAATTCCCGGTGTCAGGGATCACATAGAGATGAATAAGTTTAGGGTCTTGAACCCAGTCTGTCTGACTTCAGTATTTGAACCACTCTTTCTACTTCTGCTTCCATTAATATTATCTAATCATTTCCATAGCTTAGTAACTTATGTACTGTTGGCCCCAGTTTACAAAAGAGCAAACTGAAGCTCAGAGGACTTTATGGTGGCTGGTCTTAAAAAGGCAACATTTGAATCTAGCTGTCTGATCACAAAGCCATGCCTGTTTGTATGAGAATTGGTAGTATAAGCTGTGGAGGAGCAGAAGAATTACATTCTTGGTTTTTACAACTTATAAATCAAACAGATTCATCTTTTATTATTTCTTTGCACCTGTAAAACTAGCACAATGCCAGGCATGTAGGAGGAAAAGACTCAGAAAATAATTGTGTGCGCTTGACTATGAAGTAAAAAGAGACAACAGAATATGGGAACAATAGCTACCTTCCTTTTTTTCTTTTTTTTTTTCCCTTCTTTTCTTATAAAAAGTCTCAGTTGGATATTTCCCTCTTTAAGTTCTCAGTTTTAAAGTTACCGTCTAAGAAAAACTTTCTCTAACCACCTCTTTAAGTATACTTCTAATGCCATTATTTTCCATCACAGCAACTTATTTCTCTTAGAGGACATCATAACTCATATGATTTATTGTTGTTACCTACATATATAGTCTTTCTCTCACATAGGTGTCCCATGGTATCAAAGGCCACAACGGTCTTCATAGATGTTGCAGAGGCACCTAACAATTTCTGCCACATAGCAGGTATTAAGATATTTGTGAGGAATTTCCCTGATGGTCCAGTGGCTAAACTCCATGCTCCCAATGCAGGGAGCCTGGGTTCAATCCACCGTCAGGGAACTATATCCCACATGCTACATCTAAGAGTTTGCATGTCAAAACTAAGATGCAGCACAGCCAAATAAATTTTTTTAATTAAAAAAAAAAAGGTACTTGTGAAAGAAAAATTTTTACCCAAACCAGCAATTATTGCATACTTTCTTCAGAACAGTGTTTTTCACATTTGGATAAAGGGTAAAATTGTCATGAAAGTTCTGTGTTGATAAAAATAATTTTATTGTAATATAGAATATGTACACACATTAAGCTAAGTATAAACTCAAGCATATTCTTGAACAACTGTAAACCCAATTATCTTTACAAAGTAAATAATGCTGTCAAATTGATAAATTCACATTGACATTCTCATGCAGCTTCTCAGTGTTGGCACTATTGACATTCTGGACTGGATAATTCTTTGTTGTGGGGACTGTCCTGTGCATTATAGGGTGTTCAGCAGCATCTGTGATCACTACTCACTAGATGCCAGCAGGACCCCTGGCAACCAAAAATACCTCCAGACAATACCCTGTCCCTTGGGAGCAAAATTGCCCCAGTTGAGAACCATTGAGCTAATGCAGCATATACTTTTGTTTTGCTAAACCTAAATTGTCAACACTTGAGTTTAATAGTAGACTGATCTTCCTGCAGATCTGGCTATTTTCTATTTTGACTTCAGTAACTCTGTTCATATAAGTAGGTTATACTAAATAGTACCAATAACTTTAAGGTATCATTTGCTGTTTCAGAATAACCCAGACCTCGAACTTTTCTAAAATTCCTGCAACACTGTGCAAATGCCAATTTTAATAGTAATATCACTTAATAACTGAATAGAGCTGTCCTAATAATAAAAAATTGCTGACATGTATTGAGCACTTGGCTGTGTGCTTGACACATGTGATTTATATATTTAATCCTCAAAATTACTATCTCTATAGGTATGAAAGATGAGGCACAGAGGGGTATTGCTTGCCTAAGATTTCAAGGAAGTAAGAGGCAACTCAGAGATTCAAACCCAAGCATTCTGACTCCAGAGACCAGGTTCTTAAGCACTATGTCACGCTACCTCTTAAAAGTTATTAACTTGAAGATAGGGTTAACATTGTGTCATTAAGTCTACTTTAAATGGACTCTTAATCAAATTATTGTGGAATCAGTGACAGAAGAATTCTTTTTTGCCTATTTATTACATTTACTATCGTGTAAAAATGGCTTCCACAAAATATAATACAATATGAATATGAAATATTCTGAGTTCCTTGTGAGTAGTAAATATATCTGACTTTGCTCTTTATTTATGGAAAGTTAGCACAGTGCCTGGGATAAGTAGGTGGTCACTAAAATTCAGTTGATTCTCCAAAGAAGATATTCAGTGGCCAATAAACAAAAAGATGATCAATAGCATGATTCTTTAGGAAAATGCACAATGAGATATCACTTTATACCCTTTAGGATGGTTATTACCAAAAAAAAAAAAAAAAACAAAGCAGAAAATAAAAAGAGTTGGTGGGGATGCAGAGAAATTAGAACCCTTGTGCGTTGCTGGTGGAAATGTAAAGTGGTGCAGTCCCTGGGGAAAAAGATATGGCGACTCCCCCAGAAATTAAACAGAGAATTACCAAATGATTCGGCAGTTCTATTCCTAGGTATATAACCCAAAGACGTGAAAGCAGAGACTCTGATAGGTATTTGTACACCATGTTCATAGCAGCATTATTCACAGTAGCCCAAAGGTAGAAGCAGTTTGTCCATAGACAAAGGAAGTGATTAAACAAAATACAACACATATCAGTGGAATATTGTTGTTGTTATTTAGTCTGAGTTGTGTCTAACTCTTTGGTGACCCCATGGACTGTAGCCTGCCAGGCTCCCCTATCCATGGGATTTCCCAGGTAAGAATACTAGAGTGGGTTGCCATTTCCTCCTCCAGGTGATCCTCCCAACCGAGGGATGGAACCTGCATCTCAGCATTGGCAGGCGGATCCTTTAACACTGAGCCACCTGGGAAGCCCACAGTGGAATATTATTCCAGCTTAAAAAGGAGAGATATTCTAACATGTGCTACAACATGGGTGAACCTTGAAGACACTATGCTAAGTGAAATAAGCCAGTCACAAAAGAATCAATATTGTAAAGCAGTCAAGTTCATAGAGACAGAATCAGAAAGGTACTTGGCAGGGTCTGTGGGTTAAGGAACAATGGAGAGTTATAGGTACAGAGTTTTCATCTGGAAAGATGAAAGTTCTGGAGATGATGGTAGTGATGGCTGCCCAACAATGTGAATGCAGTTAATGCCACCAAACTGTACACTGGATAATGGCTGAAATGATAACTTCTGTGCATATTTTGCCATCAATTTCTTTGTAAGTTGATTGAAAGAATATATTCTCTCACTACTATTTTTCTGCTTGAACTGCTGTGAAATCTTTATATACCATACTAAGTTATCATTTGGCCATGGTTTAAGTTAAAAATTTAATTTAAAAATTTTAAAATTGAATGAAAATATGGACAGTAAATTATATGTCCAGTTTTAAGGTGCTCTTACAGATTACAATATGCTACATTAACTTTACTTTTTTTTGTTCTTTTAGGCTTTACATTTTACTGAAATGAAAACAAAATTTAAAATTTCATATAGAATTTGTAAATCCTATGAGTATGTTTGAGAAACCTCTGGAGTGTGCAGATCCAAGTTAGAGTAATATTGCTCAAGAGACTTTGTTGCAACCAGTTCAAAAACCTCATATAGCCTTATAGATCATCCCAGGGAGAAAGATTTCATAAGAAATAGGTAATATACTCAGCCATGAAAAGGAATGAAATCTTGCCGTTTGTGACGACGTGGATGGGCCTGGAGGGTATTATGCTTAGTGAAATCAGGCAAAGACAAATACTGTATGAAATCACTTACATATGGAATATAGAAAACAAAATGAACAAACAAACATATCAAGACAGAAACGGATGGTGTAGATACAGAGAACAAATGGCCATTTCCAGAAGGAAGAGGAGTAGGGTGAGGGATGAAATAGGTGAAGGGTATTAAGTAGAAACTACCAATTATAGATAAGTCACGGGCTGGTAATGTTCAGCACAGGGATATAGTCAGTCTTTGGTAATAACTTTGTACAGTATGTAATCTTTAAAAATACTGAGTCACTACATTGTACATCTGAAACCAATATAATATTTATACTTCAATTAGCAAAAAAAGAAATAGGTGAGAGTGGCTGCCTCTGAGGAGGTTGACTTATTTTTAATGTACACCATTCTGTATTGCTCAGATTCTTTACCATGCATTACCACCCATTTCAATAAGTGACCAATTAGGCTAGGGCTAGGGAATAAGGTCTTTGTAGTGACTTGAACATTTTTTTGTTATGCAGAACTTATCAATCTTAAATAGGCATCTTGCAAACGGAGGCAGCAGTTGTAGCGAGCAGTGACTAGCAGGCATCAGCGTTCTTAGCATTATTCTTCTCTTCCAGGTGTCACAGGACTTCCCGTTTCTTCATCCCAGTGAAACCAGTGTCTTGAATCGACTCTGCCGGCTGGGCACGGACTACATTCGCTTCACCGAGTTCATAGAACAGTACACGGGCCATGTGCAGCAGCAGGTAGGTTTCTGCTCTCCGAGAATGGACACCTGCGGGCAGCAGGTGATTCCATTGGTAATTCATGTGACATGAGTGTTAAGAAGTAATGAATGTCTCACCACTGGAATTATTCAGGTGAAGGGCAAGGTGACTCTACCTCCCAACGAGGGGAAAATATATGTGGGGACCAATTTAGGCAGATTGAGAAAGTATGCTTTGCCCAAGTTTTAGGAACCTAAATTAAATCAGTTTGAACTGGATCAGAGTTCCAATTCCAGAGGTGAAAACACAAGGCATCATTTCCACTTCCTTTGTTGCTCTGCTTCTGACTACTTTAGTCACATTGAGGCAGGCAGTTCAAATCTTCAGGCTTCATTTTTTTCATGTGTAAATAAAGTTAAACTGGAGAAGGTTCTCGGCATGTGGTGAAACTTAATAAATATTGTTCACTAATATGAATTGGAAGTCAGTGCTAATAGTGTAGAAGCCAGAGATTCATGTCCTGTCCATCGCTTACTGCCTGTAGACTGCTCAGCAGCAACCTGAGGCCCAGTTTCCTCACCAATAAAATGGGGATGATAGATGGTCCCTATCTCATAGGCTTGTGGGGGTTAAAAACGGAGTTCATGTGAAGTGCCTGGTGTACCGAAGACCCACAAACAATTTTTAAGAGAAGTTTTAAAGTTCTCTTTTATTTTTCACAGTCTGCAGTTCTGTCAGTGGTAACTAAAAAGATTGCTGTGTTGTGTGACTGATTCAGTGATGACTGTTTCCTAGTAGAAAGATTGATTCTGGTCGAAGAGAAAGGCTTCTCTTCTAGAATGGGAAAGGAAGGGTGCTTTCCTGAAACAAAGGCTGTCAGCACCATCTGTCCCTTCTGTAAGCACTTGTCAGGCCCTTGTTAGTTTTCTATGGGGCAAAGATGTTGGAGGATAATGCCTCATAAGTGTTCATTTCTGGGACAGGGATTCTGGTTCTGTCAAAGAGATTTTGTTGCAGAGAAAGTACATAAGCTAAACTTGAATTCAGAATCTAATCAATGCTAGTTTGCTATGAAAGCATAATAATAAGAACATAATGATCAAATTTGAAACCTGTGTATATCCTGATATAGATGAAAAGGGCTCTAATTTTAAGTGTTTGTAACTTTGGGGTTTGTGTGGTGTCTCAGCAATAAACAATCTGCCTATAATGCAGGAGAGTGAAAAATTTAGCTTAAAACTCAACATTCAGAAAACTAAGATCATGGCATCTGGTCCCATCACTTCATGGTAAATAGATGGGGAAACAATTGAAACAGTGACAGACTTTATTTTTTGGGGCTCCAAAATCACTGCAGATGGTGACTGCAGCCATGAAATTAAAAGATGCTTGCTCCTTGGAAGAAAAGTTATGACCAAGCTAGATAGCATATTAAAAAGCAGAGATATTACTCTGCCAACAAAGATCCATCTAGTCAAAGCTTTGGTTTTTCCAGTAGTCACGTATGGATGTGAGAGTTGGACTATGAAGAATACTGAGCACCAAAGAATTGATGCTTCTGGACTATGGTGTTGGAGAAAACTCTTGAAAGTTCCTTGGACAGCAAGGAGGTCCAAGCAGTCCATCCTAAAGGAAACCAGTCCTCAGTATTCACTTGAAGGACTGATGCTAAAGCTGAAACTCCAATATTTTGGCCACCTGATGTGAAGAACTGACTCGCTGGAAAAAACCCTGATGCTAGGAAAGACTGAAGGCGGGAGAAGAAGGGGATGACAGAGGATGAGACGGTTAGAAGGCATCACCAACTCGATGGGCATGAGTTTGAGTAAACTCTGGGAGTTGGTGTTGAACAGGGAAGCCTGGCATGTTGCAATTCATGGGGTCGCAAAGAGTTGGACATGACTGAGCGATTGAACTCAACTCACAATGCAGGAGATGCGGATTCCATCCCTGGGTTGGAAAGATCCCCTAGAGAGGAAATGGCAGCCTGCTTCAGTATTCTTAACCTGGGAAATCCTATGGACAGAGGAGCCTTGCAGGCTATAATCCGTGGGGTCGCAAAAGAGTCAGACATGACTTAGTGACTAACAACAATATATCACTTTAAGAAAACCTAACCTCTTCTGTATTCACGTGACTACGTGAATCTTATATGTGAATTCCTACTTTTCTAATTCCTAAAGCTATTTGTAGTACCTTTTATTTATTTATTTTTTGAAAAATAAAAAGAAATTTCTCTTTCATTTTGTAATAAATGAAGACATTCACTTCTCTGGAATGATACAAGATCAAAAAAAAAAGCTGCCTGGCTGTAAGCATGTCTGGTCTGTTTCACCCTATTCCCATGTTCTTATTATAGCTGTGAATATTTATCTCCAGGAATTTGCTTGTATCCTTTGTGGCATCCTCTGGCTACACTGTGCCTTATAACCCTTGAGCCCAAGCTTCCTACCACATTTTTTGCTTAATTCTCCTATGGTATCTACTGCCACCAGAGCCTGACCACCCAGAAAGGCTAGTCATCATGGCCTCCAGTCAACTGTTAGCTGCACTTCCCCCATGTAGAAGAAGAATGGTTTTATAGAAAAACTGCAGCTTTCTTGAAAGACAAACAGTGTTTGTAAATAGCCTCTTGGTGAGCTTCTTCTAACTTCCCGTGTTGGCTATCAGATTCGTGTTTTTAATGAATTGCCATGCGAGACAGGAGAAGGGTTGTTAGGAGGAGGACTGAGGTCATTTTATTTATTCAGTAAATAGTTACCCTCTCTTCAAAGAACTGTGCTAGGAAATGAAATGCAAAGATGGACGAAGTGTGAGCCCTTGCTTCATGAAGCTGTTGGTCTAGTGAGGGAACAAATAATCAAAAGTTCAATTCCAGCACTAAATAGAGATGCTATAAAAGCAACAGGGGGGAGCTATTGATTCTCTGGTGAGAGTTAGAAAGGGCTTTTCAGGGAAAAGATGTTTGAGTTGTGTCCCGCAGGAAGAGTAGGTGTTTGTCACAAGCACGAACACACAGTTATAAGCAGAACACACTCAGATTCATGGAGGTGCGAGAAAGAAATAGGGCACATTCGGGGAACTGTTGATTAATTTGGAAATGAGGATGTGAAGTTGAAAGCAGTGAAATAATTTTGGAGAGAGGGTAAGGGCCAGAATACAGAAGTCACTGGATGCTATATAGAGGAGTTTAGATATTATTCTTGGGTGAGAGGAAACCACCAAAGGGATTTAAGCCAGAAGTTACAAGTTTAGAACTGAGTTGTTGAAAAAACTCTAGTGACAATGTGGAAGAATACCCAGTTTGTAAAATCTGAGCCACTTGGAAATTAAAACATTATCACATTTTAAAAGGTCAGGACTCAAAATCTGTCTCTTCAGTCAGATTTTCCTCTCATGGAAACACTATTTTGATTGGAAATTATTTAAGCAAAAATAATGCCATTAATAAAGGATAATGTCTTCCTCCGGTTTCAGGCTGTGAGCTGAAAAGCTGACTTCTCTTTGTTGATTTCAGGATCACCATCCATCTCAGCAGAGCCAAGGTGGGTCACATGGAATCTACCTCAGGGCCTTCTGCACGGGGCTGGATTCAGTTTTGCAGCCTTACCGCCAAGCACTACTTGATTTGGAGCAAGAGGTGAGAAGAGACATGGGAAGCCACACCTCTGGGACTGCAGATAAGGGCATGTTCCTGATCTGAGATGTCCTCTGATATGGTCAGGTAGCGAAGAATGAGCCATTTTCTGCATGGCTGGAGGGTAAGTTTGTTCTCTGTGACTGCCCAAGCCATGGTCAGAGTGGCAGGTGGATCACAGCTGAGGTTCCTGAGTGAGTTTAGAAGAGCCCTAGCTTTGGTTATTGTTATCATCAGAAAATCAGAATTAATTATCTTCTGTAAATGATCAATTCTCAGTACCCTAAAATGAACCCTAAGCCTACTCTTAGATTCCCTTCTAATTTTCACAGATGAAATAGACTCAAGATACTATATATGGAGCCCTAATCACAGTGTTTTCTGTTGCAGTTCCTGGCTGACCCCCATCTCTCCATATCACATGTCAATTACTCCTTAGATCAGGTAACAAAATGCTTTGGAATCTGTTGATATCATTGGAATACTCTAACTCAGGATATTATTTTTGGGAACTTTTTTCCTTCTTGTTTCAGAGCCCAGCATTTGTTATTTCATATGTTTTCCTAGATCAGAGCTGTTTGAAGAGTTCCACATTTAATGAAAACTTACTCTCTGATGTTAATGCTCTACACTGGTCTCAGTATTAACAATTATGCGCCTCAGACATGGAAACTGCTTCTATCTGCCATTCTCTATCTACAGCCAACCCCCATGTCACATTGCCTTAGGATCTTGGCTGTTCTGTGGTATTGCCATCTTTATAAGTGGGACTGGTTAGAAACAAAGGCATTTCCTGAGTTAATTTTTTTTCCTTGTGCTTGAATATATACCATCCTAATCATTCTCTACTTTGTAGTTCCAGCTCCTTTTCCCCTCTGTGATGGTTGTAGTAGAACAAATTAAAAGTCAAAAGGTGAGTACTTTTTCCTTTTGCTAGGGTAAGCACCAAGGACATAATCATAATTCATTTTTCTTTACATTCCTTTTTGAAGACCCTAGTTTTCAGTAGTTTTTATTTATTTATTCATTTATTATCTGCTTGAGTATCATGCTAAGTATCAGCAAAACAAAAATAAGTTATGACCCTGCCCTTAAGCATCTCCTAGTCCAAAAGCTGGGGGAAATGGTAACAGATGTCCCCAAGAATGCTGCTGGGTAGGAGGATAAAGCTATGGATACTTGAAGGTTTTTTACACTAAGGATTCAGAACTTTTGGATGTGGATCTTGAGAAGCAGAAAATTAATCCTTAGAAAGAAGGTAATAGTTTATTATTAGGGTGCTGGCAGCTTTCTGAGCATTGTTAAGTCATTGGGTGAAACCCAGTTGTTCATTAGTTAAATATGCCTCTTATCACAAGTTTTTATCATATGCATTGAGAAGAGGGTCTCTAGTGTCCAGAGAATGTCTTTTCTGAGTAGGATTAATAATTCTGAGATGCTTTGAGATTTTTACATTAGAAGAATCTGCTGGTTCATAATTGGATGAGAAAGGACAAATAGATTAAATATGTTTTCTGTATTCCTGTTTTTAAGCTGGTATATTTGTGCCTTGAATATAACTAGTTAACTAGTCAGTTTGCCAGATTGCTACTTCTTTTTTTTTTTTGCTGTATACATCTAGAAACTTACACTGCTGCATTTGTTCTGTGGCAGCGAAGTCATTGGGGACGGTGCTGTCTGACCCTGCAAAGCTGGTTGCCCTCACCAAATAACATCAAGCTTTTATTGTGCACTTGTTGTATACCAGACACTGTGCGAAGTGCTTCACATATATTATCAAGGTCAATCTCCTAAGGAATCAAATAGGTTAAGGAATATAATTCGGGTCACATATGCATGCGTGCGTGCATGCTCAGCTGCTCATTCATGTCCAGTTCTTTGCAATCCCATGGACTGTAGCCCGCCAGGCTCCTCTCTCCGTGAAATCTCCCAGGCAAGAACACTGTACAGGTCGCCATTTCCTCCTCCAGGGGATCTTCCCAACCCAGGGCTCAAACCTGCGTCTCTTTACTCTTCCTGCATTGGCGGTCCGATTCTTTACCACCGCACCACCTGGGAGCCCCTCAGTGTCACACAGAAAGCAGTAACTGGTACAGCTAGGGCATAAACCCAGGGCGTCTGACTCCGGACTGTGCTGTTAACTGCTCTCTAAACTGTCTCCCCAAACTGGAGGGGACCTTCTAGCTAAGTGAGGTTAGCGCAAGAGTCCAGGCACGGCTGCACATCTCAGTTGACTGAGCTCCCGTTGGCCACAGGAAGGAGAGTGGAAAACGAGTAGGGGGATTGCAGATGGGCGAAGCCTCCTCCCTGCCGGGGAGGTGGTAGGAAGCTGAGCTAAGGCTCTAAGTAAATGAGTAAGTGGGTGCGAACAGGTGGGTGCACACAGACACAAGGGGGTCCTTTTAGAGTGATGGAAATGTTACAAACCTGGGTCATGTTGACAGTTGCACAATGCTGTGAATTTACTAAAAATTGTTGAAAGTACACTTAGGTGAATTTTGTGGTATATAAAGTATACCTCAGTAAAGCAGTTTTAAAAAAATAGAGGCAAAAGGACTTTGAGAGAGGAAGCAGGTTTTTAGAAAAGTGTGTACCTTATAAGTAGTCTGAATTAGGCCTTAATCTGAAGTAAAGAGCTTTCTTTACCTCTTTTCTTGGAATTTCGAAATGATTCTGGTTTCCTTAGTGCAGTAGTTCTCAAACTTCATTGTGCATTAGAATCACCTGGAGCTGATTGTTAAAAGCAGATGGCTGGGCCCCACGCCAGAGATCCTGATTCAGCAGGTCTGGAACGAGGTCCAAGAATTTGTAGCTCTTAAAAGTTTCCAGGTGATGCAGATGCTGCTGGGGGATGGTGCGGGCTGGGGAAGGACAGGGAGGTGGAGGGTCCATACTTAAGAACAACTATTGTGATGTTGTGATTTATAATAAGAAAAATACATTTGGTCTTTGTCCCTTTTCTGGCACAGAGCTCCTAAAACTCAGAATTTATTAATAAGAGCAATAAAGGCATCTTGATATGCATAACAAACCCCTGTTTACCACACCTGAGCTTGTTAACCAGGTGATTTTGGGAAAACACCAAAATATGGGCTGGTTGCCAGGGGAACCAACCCTGTGATTGGAAGGTTAGAACTCGCAGTCCCACGTTTCCCACTGGACCTTTGGCGAGAAAAGCGGGCAGAGGGCAGAGAGCCGGGAATGCTCCATAAAACCCAAAAGGATGGCGTTTGGAGAGCTTCCAGATTGGTGAACCAGAGTGCCTCTGTGTGCCACCATGCCCCATGAAGCTCGTTTGTTCGGGACCTCGCTGTATGTATCCTTTCATCTGGGTGTTGATTCGTATCCTGGTGTATCCTTCCTGATAAATTGATAATCTAGTGGATAAATGGGTTTCCTGAGTTCTGTGAGCTGCTCTAGTAAATTAAGGGAACCCAGGGATTGAGTTAGGTTGTAGGACCCCCCAGCTGGTGTCACAGAGTTGCTTGGTGTGGGGGACCCCCCCCCGGCCCCACCCATACACACACTGGAATTGGAGTCAGAATTGGAACTGTGCATAGATCTTAGGAGTTTATCCTCACTCTTTGTGGATTTTGCCCTCTGGATTGAGTATAGAATATGAGATTGTGTTATATGAACTATTAAAATGGAATTCAGCTTGACAAGGCTGTATTTTCCACAGATTCACGGCTGTCAGATCCTGGAAACAGTATACAAACACAGCTGTGGAGGTTTGCCTCCTGTTCGCAGTGCACTAGAAAAGTAAGTCGTGGTTTCACTGGGGTAGGGAGCGGGGAGTGGGTGGTTAAGGCCTCTGACTTGGCCCAAGTTCTGTTTCCAGGTTATCTCGGGTTCCCCTCTGAGGAAAGTTATGACCAGGATGCAAAAGCCCGGTGAGTACAGGAGCCCGTGTAAGCCTTACGGTGACGCAGAAACCACAGAAAGGGGATTCTAAGGTGCTGAGTGTCCAGGCTAGGATGTAGCTGCCTAGGTGACCTTGAGGCAGTCCTTCAATTTTGGATCTCACTATCCTTAGAGAATTGGCATTAACTATTCCAGATGATGCTTAGCTGTGTCTAAGCATATGTATTTTGAGTAGCTTTATAATCCTCTTAAGAATTTTACTCTAACAAAATTATCCAAAAGAAGAAAATAACCATATACACAATCATTATTCATTGCAATGTTGTCTGCTACATTAAGAATGAGAAAATTACCAGCAATAGAATGCTGAATAAAGATATATTCACTTGAAAGACTATAAAGCAATTAAAATTACAAATTCTGAAACAACATGTAAAAATATTCTTATAATACTAACAAAAAAGGATACAAATTTATATGTATCTTATGACTGGAACTATTAAATAAATGTGGAATATGATCAAAGGCTTCCTGTAGAATGTTGCAGTCTGGATTTTTCTGATTATTTCCTCATGAGTAGATTCAGATTGAACATTTTTGGCAAGGATACTGCCGAGGTCGTATTATTTCCTGTTACAGCGTATCAGAATGCACGCAAAGCAAGTCTGTCCCATTACTGGTGTAAAGGCTTATCACTAGGTTTAGGTGTTTTCCACCAGGTCTGTTTCAGAGGAACATTTTCTGCTTTGTCATTGATATGTTTTTTGAAGTGTGATCCCTTGAGACTGTGTGACTATCCCATTCTCCAACAACCTTTCTGCATTTTGTAGGATAATACTTTTTCAGGTATATCTACCTCTCACATACTGGATCTACTCTCCTTATGTGATTCCAACAAAAGTAAAAACTTACTTAATACTGTTAGCCAAAAAGAGACTCCTATGCTGCTAAGTCACTGCAGTCGTGTCCGACTATGTGCGACCCCATAGACGGCAGCCCACCAGGCTCCCCCATCCCTGGGATTCTCCAGGCAAGAACACTGGAGTGGGTTGCCATTTCCTTCTCCAATGTGTGAAAGTGGAAAGTTAAAAGTGAAAGTGAAGTCGCTCAGTCATGTCTGACTCATAGCGACCCCATGGACTGCAGCCCACCAGGCTCCTCCATCCATGGGATTTTCCAGGCAAGAATACTGGAGTGGGGTGCCATTGCCTTCTCCAAGAGACTCCTGTAAGTCCATTTAATTTTAACAGGAATCATCCATTTTGAAACTTATTTTACTCGAGGGAAGAAAATGTGCCTCTTCTAAAAGACGATCAGAACCCTTAGTGAGCATTTCAGACTTCAGTATATAGGCTACAAGTTTGGAAATTGAACTGCTTAGTTCATCCACAGAGATTGAAGTTAAACTAGCACATTATTTTTACCTTAATTGGTCCTGTCCCTTCTGACCGACCAAACTCTCAGGCCTCTGTTTATCCTGTAGCAGTTGAAAGCACGCCATCTGTGCTGATGTCCTCTACGTGAACTTCTAAGGCTGTTGCTGTCCTCTCCACTCAGGATCCTGGCCGTGTGTCATGGGGTCATGTATAAGCAGCTGTCAGCCTGGATGTTACACGGGCTCCTCTTGGATCAGCACGAGGAGTTCTTTATCAAGCAGGGCCCATCTTCCGGGAATGTCAGCGCCCAGCCAGAAGAGGATGAGGAGGACCTGGGCATTGGGGGACTGACCGGAAAACAGCTGAGGGAGCTCCAGGACTTGGTGAGAGCCCAGCAGGCGGCCACCCTGCTCCTGCCGGAAGCTGGACGGGTCGACAGCTAGATGACCTTCCGGGGACTTGCCCCAGCTCATCATGGCCTGGGCACGTTCCATAAATTCTGTAGATGTAGACAGTCGGCTTAGCTTAATACTTAATGCCTAACAGTGTGAGACTCTAAAGTAGAAAATACATTTGTGAGATTCCTTTTGTTTCCCCTTTTCCTGGTACATGCATTGAGGAGACCAATAATAAGTCTTGTCCCTTAGGTAATCTTGTTGGTACCCAGAGCTTTTACATTGCAGGTTAGTTTTGATTAGCCTCCCCAAAGTCCTCTGTTGTTCTTATCCATTCATTTATCTGTTACATTTTACTGAATGCCTATTATATGCCAGGCACAACTGTCGCAGGTGCCGCAGCTGCATAAACAAACAAAGTGTAGCAGTTCCTGTCCTTGAAGAGCTCCCAGTTAGTGGAAGACACTAGACCACACGAAGTGCTCTGGACCGGCAAGCAAGTGGGCATTCTGGGAACACGGACGCAGAGTAGCTAGAGTGGAACATGTGTCTTCAGTGCGAAGAGTTTGGGAGAACGATTTCTCTGGTGGTTCAGTTGTTAAGACTGAGCTTCCAGTGCAGGGGGCGGAGGTTTGATGGGAACTTCGATCCCATATGCCACATGACCAAAAAAAAAATTCCAGGCAGAGGGAAGGGCTATGTAGAGTACAGAGGCCATGAAGGACATGGATCATTTGGGGAACCATTCGTAATTCAGTTGAGATGGTCAAGTAAATAAAGACTGAAATATAGACTGTAAGGGACAGTTGGAGGGGATGTGGGAAGTGGCAGCCAGTGAAGCTTTTGAGATGAGCAGAGAGAAGATCATGAAAACCCTTGTAAATGATGGGAAGGAGTTCTGACTTGAGCCTGAAAAGAGCTGGGAACCACGAAGAATTTTAGGCAACAGGTTAACACACCTCTGTATGTTACGTTAGACTTCATGATAGGTCACTCTAGAAACTGCGGGAAAATGTTTTTTAAAAAATTAAGATTAGCAGCAAGTACAGTAGTTAGGAGAATGTTTGGGACATTATATATGCTCAGTTGCTTCAGACATGTCCTACTCTTTTTGACCCCCTTGGACTGTAGCCTGCAAGGCTTCTCTGTCCATTGGATTCTCCAGGCAAGGATACTAGAGTGGGTTGCCAGTTCCTTCTCCAGGGGAGCTTCCCGAGCCAGGGATCAAACCCACGTCTCCAGCGTCTCCTGCATTGCAAGCAGATTCCTTACTGTTTGAGCCATCGGTGAAGCCTGTTGGGGACATTAGCTGAAAAATAATGGTGGCCTGCACTAAGGATGGGAACAGTAAATATGCTGAAGAAGAAAGAGACTTCAGCAATATTTAGGAGGTGAAACAGGCAGATTGTGGTGATTGATTGGCTAAGGGTCCAGAGGGAAGCATCAGGGATGATGCCCAAGTCCCTGCCTTTAGTGATAGGCGAGTGGTGATGATAAGGAATGTGGATTGCTGATGGGGTGGATTGCTGATGGGAGAGGGCAGGGGAGGAGATGCGTCCAACTCTCGACACACTGAGATACTTGTAGGAAATGACCAGTGGGCTGAGCCTGGAGCTGATGAGAACAGTCTGGCTTAAAGATAAAGTTTTAGGAGTTATCAGCATATGAAAGTTTTTAATCTGAGGTCCACAGGTGGCTTCAGAGGTTCTGTGAAGTGTATGTTTCCATGTTCTTCTGGAAGATCCATTGCTTTTATACTTGCAGAGCGTCCTGTGATGCAGAAAGATTAAACATACCTGTTGTGATCAGTTCAGCCTCAGAAGATGTGATTGTTTAGGAAGAGTGTGGATAGCGAGAGGAATAAAGGGTCTTGGGTGGTGCCCTGAGGCACACCAGCACCCAAGCCCAAAATTGAAAGGGTGGACAGCAGAGATCAAAGTCAGGAGATGGAGCTTGGGGTTCCTTATCCATACCCTGGATAAGGGTCAAATTAGCAGCAAGTCAGGGACCTGGTTGGTTAGACGATAAGAATCTGGGACTTCATGGGCTAGATTAGTGGTTCTCAGACTGTAGAGTGCCCAGAATCACCTGGAGAGCTTATTAAAACATGGACTGCTGGGCCTCACCCCCCAGGTTTTCTGTAACTCTGGGGACAGGCTTGAAATTTTGCATTTCTAACAAGCTCCCACATGAGGCCAGTGGTACTGGCCCAGGAGCCAGGTTGTGAGAACCACATGGCTATATGACTCAGGCCTCTGTAAAGAGCTGGGCAGAGCAGACATGCACAAGATAGTAAATCACAGACATGCAGACCTGGAAACAAACAGATCAGTTATTCCATGGTACAAACAAGAAGACTGAGTTCCAGACCTAGTGCACAAGCTTTTACACAGTACTCAAGGCAGAGTGAGAACGAAAATCCTAATGTTAATAAAACCACTGTTATTTCCACCGTGCTATCTTTCTGTCTAAAGATGGAATGTCTTTCTCTAGCACTGGTGATTTAACAATTATGCAAGTTCAGATTTAAAGTCCCTGCTTCCAGAAACTGAATCGTGGGTTGGGAGAGCTGCCGGATACTCCCTTGTTGCCCCTTTCTCACTTCATATGTTCTCTCTGATGTGGCTTTTTCCTGCCCAGCGCCTGATAGAGGAGGAGAACATGCTGGCGCCCTCTCTCAAGCAGTTTTCTCTGCGAGTGGAGATTCTGCCGTCCTACATTCCAGCGAGGGTTGCTGAAAAAATCCTCTTTGTGGGAGAGTCTGTCCAGATGTTCGAAAATCAAAATGTAAACCTGACCAGGAAAGGTAGGAGTATCCTTGCCCGAGGTACCCCCATCCTCAGAGGCATAGTTGACATCATGCTGGACCCAGAGTCGGCCTGGGCAGAGTGGGTGGCTAGGGACCTTCACGTCCAGCACAGCCAGGACGTACATGCTTGCCCGAGGAGCAGGTGAAGGAGCGGCAGCCCCGGGAAGAGAGCCCGTCGCCCGTGCGGGTTCCCCGTCTCCCGTTGACCTTGAGTGATTTCCTGTCCTAAGGATCCATCCTGAAGAACCAGGAGGACACTTTTGCTGCAGAGTTGCACCGTCTCAAGCAGCAGCCCCTCTTTAGCCTGGTGGACTTTGAGCAGCTGGTGGATCGTATTCGCAGTACTGTGGCCGAGGTTGGTCTGTCTTAATATATATATAGTTTATTTTATGTATCTAATTGACCGCACTTGGTTGTCGTTGTGGTGCATGAGTTCTTCGTTGCTGCACTCAGGCTTTCTCTAGCTGCGGTGAGCAGGGACTGCTTTCTTGTGGAGCCCAGGCTCTGGGGCTCTTGGGCTTCAGTAGTGGTGGCTGCTTAGGGGCTTAGTTGCCCCGAGGCATGTGGCATCTTAGTTTGCAGCATTAGCAGGCAGATTCTTAACCATTGGGCCACCAGGGAAGTCCCTCTTAGTATATTTTCTTTGGAAGAAAATAGACTAGTCCTAGAACTTGAGTATTTGACTTGTTTCCGCTTGGTGTGACTAGAACTTAGCTGGGAGAGAAGTGTTTGAGAGAGTTGAAGGGCAGGAAGTAGAAAACAAAAGCATTCTCTTTGTTTTAATAATAGAGGTGGAACTGCCTTAGCCTTTTCCCACCTGACTGGAGTTTGATTGTTAGCTAGTCAGTTAATTAGTAATAAAGGAAGATCTTGGTTTACATTTCGGACAGCCTTTTGAGTCCATTGTATAGTCGGCAATGACTCCAGGGAACCCGCTGATTCTAAATTTAGTGCCTTACTTACTATTTTAGTAATGGCCTTAGGATTATCTATCATAGGAAGGCAGAACAAGTAATATTTTTCCATTCTTTTTTTTCCTTTTTTTGCACTCCAGCATTTAAAAAATTTTTTAATTGGAAAATAATCGCTTTACAATGTTGTGTGAGTTTCTGTCCTATAACAGTGAGAATCAGCCATGATTATATACACCCCTTCCTTCTTGAGCCTCTCTATCCACCTCTCACCCCACCCCTCTGGGTAATCTCAGAGCGCCAGGCTGGGCTCCCTGTGTTACGTAGCGGCTTCCCACTAGCTCTCTGTTTTACACGTGGTACGATATGCATGTCAGTGCTACTTTCTCACTTCATCCTACCCTCTCCTTTTCCCACTGTGTCCCCAAGTCCATTCTCTCTGTCTCGGTCTCCATTCCTTCTCTAAAGATAGGTTCATCAGTGCTGCTTTTCTAGATTCCATATATATGCATTAATATATATTTTTCTCTTTCTGACTCACTTCAATCTGTATAACAGGCTCTAGGTTCATCCACTTCAGCATAGCTGACTCAAATTCATTCTCTTTTATGGCTGAGTAATATTCCATTGTCTATATGTACTGTATCTTCTTTATCCATTCGTCTGTTGATGGACACCTAGGTTGCTTCTGTGTCCTGAAAATTGTAAATAGTGCTTCTATAAACACTGGGGTAAATGTGTCTTTTAGAATCATGGTTTTCTCAGGGTATATGCCCAGTAGTAGGATTGCTGGGTCATATGGTAGCTTTATTCCTAGTTTTTTAAGGAATCTCCATAATGTTCACTGTAGTGGCTGTATCAAATTACATTCCCATTGACGACAGGGCTCCTTTTTCTCTACACCTTCTTCAGTTCAATAGTTCAGTTGCTCAGTCGTGTCTGACTCTTTGCAACTCCATGGACTGCAGCACGCCAGGCCTCCCTGGAGTTTACTCAAACTTATGTCCATTGAGTCGGTGACGCCATCGAACCATCTCATCCTCTGTTGCCCCCTTCTCCTCCTGCCTTCAATCTTTCCCAGCATCAGGGTCTTTTCCAGTGAGTCAGTTCTTCGCATCAGGTGGCCAGAGTTTTGGAGTTTCAGCTTCAGCATCAGTCCTGCCAGTGATCAGTCCGATTTCCTTTAGGATGGACTGGTTGCATCTCCTTGCAGTCAAAGGGACTCTCAAGAGTCCTCTCCAACACCACAGTTCAAAAGCATCAATTCTTTGGTGCTCAACTTCCTTTATAGTCCAACTCTCACATCCATGCATGACTACTGGAAAAACCATAGCTTTGACTAGATGGACCTTTGTTGGCAGAGTAATGTTTCTGCTTTTTAATATGCTTTCTAGGTTGGTCATACTTTTCCTTCCAAGGAGCAAGCATCTTTTAAATTTCATGGCTGCAGTCACCATCTGCAGTGATTTTGGAGCCCTAAAAAATAAAGTTTCTCATTGTTTCCATTGTTTCCCCATCTATTTGCCATGAAGTGATGGGACCAGATGCCATGATCTTAAGTTTTCTGAATGTTGAGTTTTAAGCCAGCTTTTTCACTCCTCTTTTCACTTTCATCAAGAGGCTCCTTAGTTCTTCTTCGCTTTCTGTCATAAGGGTGGTATTATCTACATATCTGAGATTATTGATATTTCTCCCGTCAGTCTTGATTCCAGCTTATGCTTCATCCAGGCCAGCATGATTAACTTAACAATATAAAATAATTACATACAATTTGTGGAGGTCAAGCAGGGTGATGCGGTAAGTAGAAGTGCAGACATACACCTTTTCATTCACTCAACCAGTCTGTGTCTTTTGGTTGGTGCATTTAGTCCATTTACATTTAAGATAATTATCGGTATGTATGATCCTATTACCATCTTCTTCATTGTTTGGGGTTTATTTTCTGTAGGTCTTTTCCTTCTCTTGTGTTTCTTGCCTATAGAAGTTCCTTTAGCATATGTTGTAAAACTGGTTTGGTGGTGCTGAATTCTCTTAACTTTTGTTTGTCTGGAAAGCCTTGATTTCTATATCAGATCTGAAGGAGAGTCTTCCTGGGTAGAGTATTCTTGGTTGTAGGTTTTTCCCCTTCATCACTTTATTCTTTTTTTTTTTTCAGTCATTTTATTGTAGGTTAAAGTGAAAGTTGCTCAGTCATGTCCAACTCTTTGTGACCCATAGTCCATGGAATTCTCCAGGCCAGAATACTGGAGTGGGTAGCCTTTCCCTTCTCCAGGGGATCTTCCCAACCCAGGGATTGAACCTAAGTCTCCCACACTGCAGGCAGATTCTTTACCAGCTGAACCACAGCTCAGCCACAGGGAGTGGATGAGCCACCCCCTTCACCACTTTAAATATGTCATGGCATTCCCTTCTGGCTTATAGAGTTTCTGTTGAGAAATCAGTTGATAGCCTGATGGGAGTTCCCTTTTATGTTGTCATTTTCCTCTTGTTTTTAGTATTTTATCTCTATCTTTAATTTTTGTCAGTTTGATTACTATGTGTGTTCGGTGTGTTCCTCCTTGGGTTTATCCTGCCTGGGACTCTGCTTCCTGGACATGGTTGACTATTTCCTTTCCCATGTTAGGGAAGTTTTTCAGCTATTATTTCTTCAAATATTTTCCTCTGGTCCTTTCTTTCTCTTCTCCTTCTGGGACCCATATAATGCGAATACTGGGACCCGTGTAATGCGAATACTGGTGCATTTATTGTCCCAAAGGTCTTTAGGCTGTCTTCATTTCTTTTCATTCTTTTTTCTATAGCCTGTTCTGCGGCAGTGATTTCCACTATTCTGTCCTCCAGGTCATTTATTCATTCTTCTGCCTCGGTTATTCTGCTGTTGATTCCTTCTAGTGTATTATTCATCTGTTTGTTTTTTCTTTAGTTCTTCTAGGTCTTTGGTAAACATTCCTTTCATCTTTTCAGTCTTTGCCTCCGTTCTTTTTCCAAGATCCTCAGTCATCTTCACTGTCATTATTCTGAATCATTTTTCTGGAAGGTTGCTTATCTCCACTTCATTTAGTTGTTTTTCTGGGGTTTTATCTTGTCCATTCATCTGGAACATAACTTTCTGATTTTTCATTGTGATTAACTTTCTGTAATATGGTTTTTGTTTTAGCCGCTGTGAGACTGTGCTGCTGCTTGCTTCTTCTGCCTTCTGATGGAGTAGGCTAAATGGCTTGTATAATCTTCCTGATGGGAGGGACTGGTGGTGGGAAAACCTGGGTCTTGCTCTGGTGGGCTGGGCCTGGCTCAGTAAAGCTTTAATCCGGTTATCTGCTGATTGATGGGGTTGTACTCCCGCCCTGATAGTTGTTTGACCTGAGGTGACCCTGCCCTGGGCTCTATGATAGGGTTAATGGTGAACTCCAAGAGCATTTTCGCCAAGGGGGACCTTCCAGTGCCCCTGTCTCTGTGGTGAGCCCCTGCCAACCGACCCTCTGCAGGAGGCCCTCCAAGACTGGAGTCTCTGTTTCCCCCAGTCCTATGGAAGTTCTATAATCAAATCCCTCTGGCCCTCAAGGCCAGATTCCCTGGGGATTCCGAGTCCCTTTGTTGGATCCCCAGGCTGGGAAGCCTGACATCAGAAACTTCACAACAGTGGGAGAACTTCTTTGGTATTACTGTTCTCCAGTTTATGGGTCACCCACCTGGTGGATATGGGATTTGATTTTATTGTGACTGTGCCCCTCCTGCCGTCTCTGTGCAGCTTCTTGTTTCTGGACGTGGGGCATCTTTGTTTGGTGGGTTCCAGCGTCCTCCTGTTGATGGTTGTTTAACAGCTGTTTGCAGTTTTGGTGCTCTCACAGGAGGAGATGAGCACCCATCCTTCTGCTCCACCATCTTGAACTGGAAGCCTGAAATTTTTTTCATTTCTCTGTTTACCATCCATATATCTTCTTGGAAGCATCCAAACCTTTTTTCCATTTTTTATTGGAAAAACTTTACTTTTTTACTATTGAGTTTTGAGTGATATATGTATTCTGGATTTGTAAGTCTTTTATCAGGTACATGACTTACAAATATTTTCTCCCTGTGACTTATCTTTTCATTCTCTTAACAGTCGAGAGCAGAAGGTGTTGATTTTGATTAAGTCTAGTTTATCAATTTCTGTTTATTTTGTGGTTTATGCTTCTGGTGTTGTGACTGAGAAACCTTTGCATAACCCAGTGTCACAAAAATTTTCACTGTTTTCTTTTAGAAAACTTATAGTTTTTAGTTTCAATTAGGTTCATAGTCATTTCTAATTAATTTTTGTATGGTGCAAGGTATAGATCAAGTTTTAATTTTTTGTATATGCATATTCAGTTGATCCAACATCTTGGTTCTTTTTATGATTTATTTTTGTTTATATTCCTGTTATCCTTGCCTCTTAAGCATGTTTATAAAGAGTATTTTAAATTTGGGGAAAGCCAGAGGAGGGCTTCTGGGGACCTAGTGGTTAGGATTCCAGAGCAAACAAACTGTGCTGCAGCTGCAGCAGAAGCCTTGGCCAGTCTCATGGAGAGCTCCGAAGCTGGAAGGCCCTTCCAGAGATGTCCCAAATTGAGGTTAGAGGGCTGGCCATTGTTCTCTGCATCTATCAGAAATTGGTTCCTCAGGAGGGAACCATGGGCATGGTAGCTCCCTTCAGCCAAAAGCACCAGTAACAGACAGTACTCTGAACAGCTAGTGCATGGAATGTTTCAGTCTTACTGGGGAGATCTGGGTGGCTAACTATACTACCCTATCAGGCAGTTCTGAAACTTCTCCAGTGTTAGCTGCAGCAGCTGTTTAGTCACTCAGTCGTGTCCAACTCTTTGCGACCTCTGAACTGCATATAGCCCACCAGTCTCTGTCCATGGGTTTCTCCAGGCAAGAATATTGGAGTGGGCTGCCATTTCTTTGTTCAGGGGATCTTGCTGACCCAGGTGTTGAACCCACATCTTCTGCATTAGCAGGCAGATTCTTTACCACTGAGCCTCCTGGGAAGCCCTTGTATTATCTAGTCTGTTGTACCTCTTTTACACCTCCCGTATCTAATTATTTTGACCCGTGTGCTTACAATCCCGAGGAGGTCAGCTGTTTTGTCTAGCATTGTGTACTGGAGAAGGGCCAAAGGCCAGTTCCTAGTCTGTGTCAGTTCCAGTGAGAGAGGGCAGAGAGTATGAGCACCCAGGTAGAGATTCCAGGCACACTGACGGAATCAACACTGATCACTTCACCGGGCAAATCCTAGTCAGGATCCTTTGATGCGGTAATGGCTATGCAGTGGATTTTTTATATTCATCATCAAGCTTGCCAGATTCTCTTACTAGTTCTAATAGTTTATGTCAGTTCTCTTGGACTTTCTATGCAGGTAGTGATATTATCTGACAACAGTAACAGTTTCTTCCTTTTCAATTAATTTTTTTTCCCATGTTGGCAAGTCTTTAGTACAGTGTTGAATAACTTTAAAGGAATTTCTTCTAATGTTTTGCTGTGAAATAGGTTGTTTGCTGTGGGATTTTGATATATACCCTTTATCAGAATAAAAAGATTTCCTTCTAGTCTTTGCTTTCTTTCTAAAATCATCAACAGATGTTTTATCAAATGCTTTTTCTGCATCTATTGAGGCAATCGTGGTTTTTCTTTTTTAATCTTTAATATAGTTATTAATAAGTTATAGTTATTAAAGTTATTAACTTTAATAAATTATATTCATATTAAATTTTTTTGAGATTGAAAACACACACCAAAGTTAAACATTTGAGCCATTTAAAAATAGGCAGGTTCACTGGTTTTTTTTATGTTCACAATGTTGTACAACCATTACCAGTATCTAATTCCAGCGTATTTCCATCTCATATTTTCTTACCTTTTAAACTTTTATTCCTGGGATTAACCCAGTGTGGTCATGGTATATATACTTTTTTTTAATACATTGCTGGATTTTCACAGAACCATTCTTTGTAGGAGTTTTCATTGTAACAAAACTTTGACCCTCTATTGTTGGTTCTTCTCACAGCATCTCTGGAAGCTGATGGTGGAAGAGTCAGATTTACTGGGTCAACTGAAGGTAATAGCTTAGCTCTTCTTTTAACTCTTAAAATGATGCCTGTGGACAATGCCTTTATTCTCCAGCCTCTCCTGAGGGCACTGGTTGCCTATCCTGACTTCTAGAGTGGCTTTTTATGTCCTCATCCAGGTGGGCAAACTCCACCTAACACTACAGATTTACTCGAGCACAAAGCTTCAGCTGTTTGCTTTCTTCTGGCATAACTGTGTTTTTGTTAAATAAATAATATCAAAGACACGCCAGTCATCCATTACCAAGTATGCTCCTTTAAAATGCCAAAACCCTATGTCCTTTTGTAAGCTGGGCCAAAACAGATGAAACTGGAAATTATATGCATAAATTTCTTAGGATAGTGAAGAGCTCCTGGCGTTGTTGGTTTACTGAATTAAAAATTGAAATTCTTTCTGCAGATCATTAAAGACTTTTACCTTCTGGGACGTGGAGAACTGTTTCAGGCCTTCATTGATACAGCTCAACACATGTTAAAAACACCACCCACTGCAGTAACTGAACATGGTAATCGCCCCGGGGCCTGAGAATTACCAGCTTACTGAAGTCCCAGGGTTGTAGGGGATAGCTTAGCTTGCTGCTGAACCATTTAGGGCTGGTCCGTATTTAAAGTAGCCTGGTGAGTTAGAGTGTTTCCAAAGACAGAAGGCTGCTCAGGTATGCTCACACTGTTGTCACTGGGAACGACCTCAGCTTGTGACCCTTCCTGGAAGAGGCAGTATAAGTTTTCAAATGAGTTGTTCATCTCATCAGATTATAGCAATATATTTCTTTACATCTGTATTGAATTTGTGACAGTATTGCTTCTGTTTATGTTTTGGTTTTTTAGCTAGGAGGCATGTGGGATCTGAGCTCCCTGACTGGGGATCAAACCTGCATCCCCTGTATCGGAAGATAATGTCTTAACCACTGGGCCACTGGGGAAGTCCCTGTAGCCATATATCTCTTAAGGGACATATTAGGACATTTTGTTTTGTTTTGGCTCAGCCATGCAGCATGCTGAAACTTAGTTCCCTGACCAAGGATTGATCAAACCCCTTGGTCCCTTCATTGGGAATGCAGAGTCTTAACCACTGAACCACCCAGGAAGTCCCCATATTGGGACTTATTGCCCCTTGTTGTATTAGAACTCTTTAGGTTGTCAATGATGGAAAATAACCTCGGTAGAAAGGGGGAGTTTATTTGCTATTGTATCTGTAACTCCAGTGGGATAGGGATATTTGTTGTTGTTTTAGTCGCCAAGTCATGTCTCTTTAGTGACCCCATGAACTGTAGCCCACCAGGTTCCTCTGTCCAAGGGATTTTCCAGGCAGGAATACTGGAGCGGGTTGCTATTTCCTTGTCCAGGGGATCTTCCTGACCCAGGGCTCACAGCAGTGTCTCCTGCATTGAAAGGCGGACTCTTCCCCGCCAGGCCAGTGGGGAAGCCCATGGGGATGTAGCTGGGCCTAAGAACCAGGGACTGCTAGGAGTCTCTCCTACCTCGTCTGTGCCTCATGTGTGCTCTCTGATGGCCTTCCAGTTCCATCTGGCCACATGGCTACCAGCAGCTCCCAGGAACATACTTCACAGTCTGATGGGGGAGTCAAACCCGGTCTCTCTGGTAGTAGGTTAAAGGATTCCAGGGAAGGGGTTCTGATTAGTCCAACTAGATTGTACACCTGTCCCTGTATCAAAGGGGTCAGACATGAAGATCTGCTTATCTTGGGACTTCCCAGCAGTCCAGTGGTTAAGACTCCAAGCTTCCACTGCAGGGCGCACTGGTTTGATCGCTGGGGAATGATAATCCCACATGGCTCACAGTGCGGTCAAATTAAGTTCAATTAAGTGTTAACCATTCCCATTTGAACTACATAAGAGTTAGGTAAGGCTGAGTATCAAAAAAGGTGTGGGAGAGGTAGGAGTGAAAACAGGGTTACCATTTTTCTAGCTCTATAAAACAATAGATGTCCAATGAACTTATGTAGGACTTTCTAAGTTGCAGATATCAGAAAACTCAATTCAAATTCCATTCACTTCCAATTCAGATTCACTTAAGCAAAGGAAAAAAGAATTTATTGATTCTCAAAATTGAAAAGGTCACAGGTATAATGGCTCTAGGCAGTTTGTTCCAAGGCTCACCTGACGCCTTCAAGACTTGGTGTCATTCCATCTTTCACCTCTGCCTTTTCTGAGACAGGCCTGCTCCATATGGTAGCAAGATGGCCTGTAACCAAGTTCACATCTTACTGACTCTGTTTATCTCAAAAAAAAAAAAGAAAAGAGCTGCCCTCTTTCAGAATCTGAATAGAACCTCTGGATTGGCCTGGCTTGGGTCATGTTCATATCCCCAAACAACATAGTGATCCCCAAGGTAGATCACTCCTGGGTCACCGGCCCCCGCTAGAGCTACATGGATTGTCCTCTGCCAAGGTGATTCTCCAGGGAAAACCAGGATGCGCTTATCAGCAAGCGGAGAAGGAACACTCGCTAGTCAGGCAAAAGCAAGTGCAGGTTACTGTATTCTGTCTTAAGAGATGGGCGGGCTGGGAGAGGTGGAAAGGAGGAGTTGGGATGCGTTACAGAGCCAGGCCTCCACTCAGCCCGCGTGTCCTTCTTCGCAGACGTGAACGTGGCCTTCCAGCAGTCGGCACACAAGGTGCTGCTGGACGACGACAACCTGCTCCCTCTGCTGCACCTGACGATCGAGTATCACGGCAAGGAGCACAAAGGTCTGCCTCGCTTTCCCACGTCTTCTCTGCTCCTGCTGGTCACTGCCTCTTTGGCTTCCATCCACTTCTGCAGAAACCATATCATTTGGTACCTCAGAAATCACCTAATCCAGCGCTCTAATTTTACACAAAAGAAAAGGGAAGTCGTCAGATGCTGAGAGAGCCAGGCCATGGTTTTGTTTTTGTCATGCTACTGGAACGGTCTGTTTGTTTATTTATAGCTGCCATTCTTTACAGCTGAAAAAAGAACCTCTGAAAGATCTGCGAGAACCCCGCACGGGCGTTTTCTTGCCTCCTACAAGTCCTTTTGTGTCCCCTTTCTGCTTCTCACACTGCTGGCTCAAGCGAGCACTCATCTCATGACTGTTCTCACCTTGTTGAAACTCTGGTTCTAGATGAGCAAAGTCATCTTCTCTCTTCTTAACAGATGCTACTCAGGCAAGAGAAGGGCCTTCTAGGGAAACTTCTCCGCGGGAAGCCCCGGCATCCGGCTGGGCGGCCCTGGGTCTTTCCTACAAAGTGCAGTGGCCACTACACATTCTCTTCACCCCTGCTGTCCTGGAAAAGTGAGTATTTCTGAGTTTCTCACAGGTAATGTTTATCCAGCTTTCTTCCATGGAAGAAAGTATCAGGAGTAGAACTGGTGGGAGCAAGAGAGCCAGCCGACAGATTAACAGTCTATAAATCAGAGGCTGTGAACTCTGATGCCTTCAGGGGCTGGAGACAACACTAATAAGCGAGGCTGTATGTGAGACGGCAGTGAATGCCGCAATGACTGGGAGGGTCAAACCCTTCAAACCTTTTTTTCTTTAATTGCAAAATAAGAAGCAATTTGGGCTTCCCAGGTAGTGCAGTGATAAAAGAATCTACCTGCCAAAGCAGGAGACACGGGTTCAATCCTGGATGGGGAAGATCCCCTGGAAGAGGAAATGGCAACTGACTCCAGTGATTCTTGCCAGGGAAATCCCATGAACGGAGGACCCTAGCAGGCAACAGCCCACGGGGTTGTAAAGAGTCAGACAGGACTGAGCACGCACACAGGAGCAATTTACAGGCAGCCATGTGGCCTCTCCTCATCCTCCCCATCCTGTACACAAGCCTCAACTTTTGGGGGCAGAGAAGCTTAGGGTACGAGAGACTACACAGACAGAGCTGGTTCAGGGAGGAGACACAGCCCACCTAAGTGAGCTGCCCGGACTCTCTCCTGAGAGCACCTGTAAGTCCCAGTCCACTTTTCTCCTCACTTCACAGGCTCCTAACACCCTTGAAGAAACCAAGCTCAGAAGTATTAAACATTTTATCATGAAAATTCCCAAATAAAAACAAAAATATGGACTGTAACAAACTCCCATGGACACAGCATCCATCTCCAGTAACCAGCCATGTCATGCTGTTTAGTTCATCTCCTTTTTTCGGCCAGAGCCTTATAAAGCAAATCCCAGACATCATTTCACTCCACCACTATGCAATTCAGAGAAGGAACATTTTTTAACATTAACTACAATGCTATTATTATATCCAATAAAAGTAACAATATTGAAGTTTCCCTTATTATCTAAAAAATGTCTTTCTATGGTTGGACTTGTTCAAATCAGAATCCAAACAAGGTGTATGTACTATTTTCAGTAGATTGTTCCATTAGAAATAAACATTTTTTAAAGCCAGATGGAATCAGGTTCTTACGCAAGCCTACCTAAGAATAGGTAACTAAGCCTATTTCCACCAGGAATTGGCAGCTCTTCCCATGCATCTTCTCAATACAGGACTCAACATCAGACAGCTACTTAAGAGCTCAGTGAGGGGAGCCCTTTTTTTTTTTTTAATTGAAGAATAGTTGGTTTACAATGTTGTGTTAAGTTTCAGGTGTGTAGCAGTGATTCATATTTTTCATATTCTTTTCCAGTATAGGTTTTTAAAAGATACTGAATATAGTTCCCTGTACTATACAGTAGGACCTCCTTGTCTATTTTATATACAGTAGTATCTGTTTAATCCTAAACTCCTAATTTATTCTCCCCTCCCCAGGGAGCCCTTAATTTTTTCTCTCCTCTGGTCTTCAGGGACACAGAATCACAATAACCAAAATCCTTGGTTCCCAACACATTCTTACTGGTCCATGCAAGGCCCTCCTCCCATCCTTCTTACACACACACCATAAAACCACTTCTAGAAGAAAACCTACTACACTGATCCTAACGTCTGCCTACCTGTGTGGTCCTTCTCAGCCCTGCTTCTGTGCCTCCCTCAACCCTAAGTGACCACTATCCTAAATTCCATGTTTTCTATCATTTTTATATAGTTTTATAACATCTACATGTTCCCCCAAAGTATACTTTTTTCTACTTAGTTGTTATAAGCATTACCAAAAAGATATCAGGCTATATGTAGTCTTTTCAGTTTCCCTTTTTTATTCAGTCATATCGCTTGGAGTCATTTTGTAATGTACAGCTAAAGTTTTTTTCATTTTGATGGCTGTGCAGTTTTCCATCATAGAAATAAACCAGTTTCCCTGTTCACATTTCTAGCCATTCTGATAGCCTTCCTGCTTTTTGGGGACAGGTGGGTAGCACATAGTCCTAGGGTCTGTCACGTGGGTGGAGGTGGGGGGGGGGGGTGACGTTTTTATCTTGATGAGTCCGGTGTTCCTGTCCAGGTACAATGTTGTTTTCAAGTATCTGCTGAGTGTGCGCCGGGTGCAAGCTGAGCTGCAGCACTGCTGGGCCCTACAGATGCAGCGCAAGCACCTCAAGTCCAACCAGACCGATGCGGTCAAGTGGCGCCTAAGAAACCACATGGCATTCTTGGTGGATAATCTTCAGTACTACCTCCAGGTCTGTGTTTCGGGATGAACAGAAGGAAGGGGTATGAAAAAAAACCCAGGTTGGCAGGAGTCACTGAAGAAGAATCCTGCAGTTGGTGAAAAACTGAGGTCTGAAAATCCATGGATTTTATCACTATATCTGTCTCTTGGGGGGCATTTAGAGGAAAGTAGAAATAAGTGGATGAAGGAGAATGAAGAGTCAAGGGCCTTAACAGTCATGCTGTGTATTTACTGTTGAGCCTAGTTTGCTGTAACTTTGGGGATCTCACAGGACTTAACCATGTCAATCAGTGGAGGGAATGGGGGCTAGGAGGGATCTGCCAAGACACTGGAGGCGGGCAGGGACAAAGAATTTCTATGTCATTGCTCAAGCACCTTAATGTCCTTGAGTCCTTAGACTAAGCAAGGTACTAAAATGATTTGTGTAACTATATCAAGGTAGACGTGCTGGAGTCTCAGTTCTCACAGCTGCTTCATCAAATCAATTCAACCCGAGACTTTGAAAGCATCCGACTGGCTCATGACCACTTCCTGAGCAATCTGCTGGCCCAATCCTTTATCTTGTTGAAACCTGTAAGTAGAGCTGGTTGTTGCTTCTAGCCTGACTGATCACTTAAGACACGCTGACTTGCCAGGATAGGGGGAACTATCATTAAGCAATTTTTCAGTCTCTGTCTTTAAACATTTTTAGCAATTTACAATTGACAAAAACTAAGAGGGAATACTATAAAGGAACTTAAAATGTCTTTTAATATTTAATATAATATTTCTGAAATATTATACCATAGGACCTGGTGAGCAGCTATAGATAATAAATGCTTACCCTCAGAAGGAAGGATTTTTGTTTTTTTGCAGCATGTGGCATCTTAGTTCCCCAACCAGAGATCAAACCTGTGCCCCCGCTGTGGTGGAAGTGCAAAGTCCTAACCACTGGCCTGCCAGGGAAGTCCCAAGAAAAAAGAATTTAAAGAAAAATTTTAAAAGCTTTTATGATACCATAGAAAGACTAATGAAAAGCACATAGAGTTTACTTTCTTAGCAGGCTTTTATATCAGGATGGACCAGTTTGGAACTTGTTTTCAGATAGCTAGAGTAGTGTCTCCTTCTGTATATGTGTGTGTGCATATGTACATACATATATCATATATCTCCTTTAGGGAGGTTATTCTCAACCTTGGCTCCACATGAAAATCATCTGGGAGCTTTTTAAAAAAAATCTAGGCCCCAGAGCACTTACATTAGTAGAACCCAGGCTCCAGTTGTCACCAGTCTTAGAAAGCGTACAAGCTGATTCCAGTTCAAGGATAAAAAAGCAAAATGATTAAAAGGACCCCAGCAGTGTTTTGTTTTGCTTTCCTAGTAGTTTCTGATAGAATAGTTATGCCTTATCTCTGACGTGAGCTAATCGTTATTCCTCAGTCACATTGTTTTGTTCTGGTATTTGGGGCCATTTTTAAAGGAGAGTGAGTTCTATAGATGCCACTCCAGAGGTTTCTGTGAATTGAAAACAACCAGGAACCAGTGTGGCAGGGAGACTGTCCTCACGTGGGATGAGAGCATGCTTGGGGAACAGCAGAGTATCAGAGCAGGTGACCATCATCAAATATTTATTGAGTGCTTACCGTATGCAAGGCACTGGGGATACAAAGAGGTATAGTCATGGCTCTGCCCTTAAGGAGCTCACAATCTAGTTGGAGAAACAGGACTTACAGACATCACAGACCAGTAACAACCACAGGGGGCCAGAACAAACGCCAAGTGAACAGTACAGTCATACAAAGGAGAGGGAAGCAAGGGGTTGCTAAAGGCTACAGTGGGAGTGGGCACAAGGGGAGTGCCCCAGGCACAGGCAACAGCACTGAGAGCAGAGCTCAGGGTGGGCGCACGCTTGGCGCGGCCGAGAGACGGCGACTGGCTGATTGTGGTGCAGGCGGAGGTTTCGCGCAGGGTCTTTGCCCACAAGGTGGGAATAGGTTAGCTCTTATTGTCCCAAATCTTTCACAGATGTATCTTCCTTTTTCTCCTAATGCCAACTGTTTCCTGGGTAGGTGTTTCACTGCCTGAATGAAATCTTAGATCTCTGCCACAGCTTCTGCTCACTGGTCAGTCAGAATCTGGGCCCACTGGATGAACGTGGGGCTGCCCAGCTCAGCATCCTGGTAAAGGTGAGTCAGCCTGGCCGCTGGCCAGGGGCAGCCCCGTCCAAGGGACCCAGGTGGTTCTGCACGTGGGGGATCACGGTCTTTTCCCCAGTACACACACACACACACACACACACAAGTAACAAGATACAAAGGTAAAAAATGTTTTATCAGTTTTTGAAGCAGGTAAGTATGTGCTGCTTTGGTGTTCAAATGCAGTTAAGCCCCAAATGGTTTATTCAGCCACCAAATATACACTGGCTTTGTTCCTGCTTTCTAACATCCAACCCCCTTATTTCCTTGAACTAAACCCCCTATTTCACCGAAATTATAATTATCTGCCTGTAATACAGGCAGGTCTATGTTATCTGAAAACACAGGTTCTCGCCAGCCCAGTACATAGCAGAATATACTCACTTAAAGCTGGCTGATAAATTCCTACTGAGAATAAGAGTACTTTCATGGAAATTCTGTGTTCTGTGGACTTGGTACAAAGAAGTCATTTTTGGAGTCAACAGAAATGGGACTGTCGGAAGGCCAGTTAGTGCTGTATAATTTTCAGGAAGACTTTTCCAACGAGTCCCCTTTGCCCCCTTCACTCCACATGGGTAGCTGGTAGATCTAAGAGGCGTGACACAGCTTGAGTCCCTCTCTGCAGGGTTTTAGCCGCCAATCTTCACTCCTATTCAAGATTCTCTCCAGTGTTCGCAATCATCAGATCAACTCGGATTTGGCTCAGCTACTCTTACGACTAGATTATAACAAATATTACACCCAGGCTGGTGGCACTCTGGGCAGGTAAGAACAACTGCCTCTAGGGCGCTCGGTGGATTGTGTGTGGCTTTTTAACGAACTGTAGAATTCCAGAGTTGGAAGGAGACTTTAGTCATCATCTAGTCCAAAGCAAGCAAGCAAAGCTCAGAGAAGAAAAAGGCTGTGTCTGATCGTCAGCGAAGATTATTTTCCAGTAGAAGTTGAAGTAAATCCTTAAATTCCTAACGCTGAGGTGGACTTTAGGTTCTTGGCTAAGTTGTGCACTGCTGTGCTGGGAGGCAGCACGGCTTCAGTTCCCAGTTCTGACATGAGCCAGCTGCTCAGCCTTAACGCCCCTTACCCCCAGCTCCTTGACCCTCAGAGCTTTTGCTTCTGAGAGGAGGGAACCACTGCTTCACACTCTAAACTTTCAAAAAATCTAATAGTGATAAAAAAAAATCTAATAGATTCAGTGGTAGGTGGCTTCTCCGATGTCTGTCTCATTCAAAAAAGCACTTACTCTTTTTCTCTCTGAAATGTTAGGCAGATTCCTCCTAAGTGATTTTAGCAAAAAGAGTTTTAAGATGAGATTGTCTAGATCACAGGTTGCTGCGATTCATACTTTTTTGAAGAAAATCTCGGGAACGCATGACATTTTGATGCAGCTTTCTTTTTCTTTCTATAGTTTCGGGATGTGAGAATTTCTGGTCCACAACCTGAAATAATCCCACTGCATTGTGACAGAAGATTCAAAACAAACATCCCCTTTCTCTCACCGGCCTCCGTACATCTGCAGCGACTGGAAAAGCTCTGACTTCTCTCCTAGAAGCCATTACTGAACATCCACGGGTGCAAGTCCTTCCCCTGGTTCCTGCATGGGAGGGGCCTCTGCCCCACCCCAAAGAGTTCTCAACTCACCACGGAGGACTTGTAGCTTCGGCCCACCTGCTGACCAGGCAAGGTCTGTTACACTGGGAACATTTGTCAGAGGTTACCTACTACATGTCTAGGTACTGTTCAAGCTTCGAGAGACACAGCAGTAAGTTACAGCTCAGAACATAATACGGCTCATGTGAAAAAGGAATTATAAATAGGTCAAATGCTGGATGTTCCCACTGAGCAAGAAAAACACCAGGTAAGCTAGGTTTCCCCACAGACCTCCTTTCCTCTTTCAGAAACTGAAATGGAGAGTCTCCCATCTTTAAGGGTCTTCAACTGTGACTCTGAAGAATTCTACTGGTAACTTCCAGTTATTTCAGACTGTTAAGAAGGTAATTCTGCTGCTGACAATGTATTTTTTTTTAAAACAAAGAAAAAAGGGTCCTTAAGACAAAAAACTGTTAGATTTCAAATACTGAAAGATGCAGGTCTTATTATCCCTTCTTAGAAGAACCACAGGAGTAATATGCCCAGCCATCACTGATATCCATCGATCTTCGTATCAGTAATGAGCCAAAATAAATATGCATCGGACAACTGCCTCCAAACTGAAAGATAATTCTGGCCTCACTGTGTAGCCACTCAGTCTGGCCCTTGTCCACCCCTACATCTACCACATATAGACGTTTATTCCCTGTAACTGTCGGCTACAGATGACCCTTCCACTGCTGCCTCTGGAGCAGAGGTTAGCATACTATGGCCAGCCACCTGTTTTTATAAATAAAGTTTTATCGGCACAGAGCCACACTCATTTGCTTACCTATTGTCTACGGTTGCGTTCATGCCATCATAGCAGAGGTGAGTAGTAGTGACACGCCAAATGGCCCACAAAGCCTAAAATATTTACTATTTGGCAGGGGGAAAAACAGAAGGTATTAGAGATTTAAGCCTTGATTTAGAGAACGAGAGGACATTTAACAGGGATGATGCTAAGAGTAGAAAAGGAACAGCTTCCAACTGTGACAGTAATAAAATCCTGACCTCTAACTAGAGCTGCTAACATTTTCGAGTGTTATTACTGTTTCTCATGTTTATTCTTGCAGCAGGTCATCAAGTTTACAGTCACCAGCCATTCACAACAACTGGTCCTTTTTAGCTCTGAGAGTATAGCACCCACAAGTCAGCTTAAGTTCAACTCTAAAGAGATTTCTTTTTCACTGCCAGAAAACTAAGAGCTGTGCCCAATTCGATTCAGCTTTTGGCACAACTATAATCTGGGTCTATTATAAAATCAGATTTGGGGAAGTACTGAATTTTAGACAACCCAGGTTAATCTTCTGACAGTGATACCACAGATAACTATAAAAAGTTCACTGTCTTACTTTCCTTGGCCTACTGTTCTACAACAAACAAGTCCACTGAAAACTGCAGAGAAGTTACTGTGTTTGTCTTGCTATTTGTTCTGAGCTTAAGCTCAAAGAAATGGATGAAGAAATCCCAGTTACTACAACCAAAGAGATTCAACATTTATTTTATCATAAAAGTCCAGCAAATAAAACTATATACAAGATCCATGCAAGGAATCCAGTTACACACAAGACACATTTAAAACCTGGTTAAAACACAATCGCCACAACAGCAGGGAATAAAACCGGTAAGACCAAGTATCCTTAGTGAGAAACATAATCGTGTTTATATTTTGGATGCTGCTTGAATCCAATTCTCTCCCCAACAATGAGGCACTGGATCACCCACTCTTGTGACACCACAGGCAGCTGCAATGCTTCAGCACACTTCAGCACCGAGGCTGGGCACGAGGGGTCCGTCACCACCACGTCAAACACCCCTAAAGCAATATCTGCAGGGAGCAGGGGAAGGTGGACGAGGAAAGGAGACTCAATTTAGCCCTCCAGTAAAAAGACAGGTAAGCCTTCTCACCAGTGTATCCCACTCTGCCCAAATTAAAGCCCTTCAGTCAAACACAGTCACTGATCACAAAGTGGAAAGCTGTGCTCACTCTATGCTGGCCTTCTGTTTAGCAAGTACACAGTGCACCAGGAGAAGCACAAACAGCCCAGTGCTTCGCTCATGGTGGCTCACCTCGTGAAAGGACTCTTTCTCTTCTCTCAGACTGACCTTATGTGCGTTTCTATCGGGCCTGAGACTTAGAGCTAGGACACCCTTGGCTCAGTAACACGGTTCCCAGGTACCTTTGTTATGGGCACTTGAATGGTGCTGCTTCACAGAGGCTGCCCCCCCAGTCATGAGGATCTCGGACCAGAGCTCCAGGAAATTCTGCTGTTGGTCTGATACCAAGAGTACCTTCAGATCCTGGAAAGGGTTTTCACGGGGTTGCCTACGGAGGAGTCAGAGAAACAGCATGATATCCAGCAATAGATAAGATCCAACAATAGCCTTTCTGCATAGGGACTCGAGTACATCTGAATGCTTTCAAAAGCCCTGCTGAGGGAATCACCCCTTCCCTCTTTCTTTTTGAATGATGTGTCTTCTCTGGGATCCTGACCTTCTAATCTCCCCCTTCTGATTTCCAGATTTATCCTAAGCCCAAAAATCAGTCAAATCACGTTCCTGGGCCTGTATTTTTAAATGTCTTGCTTAAACTTAGTCCCCTCACCTGACAAGTTGAATCTACATGAAAATCTCACATGTTTTTAAAAAGGTCCCTAACCATATATTCTAGGAAAACAAACTAAATTGCAAAAATAATCTCAAACCCAAATTCTGTCATGTATCCTATGACTGTTCCAGTTTCTAGAAATACTTACTCTCCCACTGAGATTCTCCCCCTCTGGAAGCTTGCCGTCTTCCTGCCTGCTGTTCTGGAGGGGCTCACGGCTACTCACCAATCCAGAATCCTTTGCTCCTCAAGGCTGTACCCAGCTGGCAGCAGGTAATTGCGGTAATTCTGGAGCTGGTTGGCATGGCAGCTGTCATGGACCCAGACATGAGACACACAAGGAATCCCACTGGCAAGGCACAGGAAGTACTTCCGGGTTCGACAGTGCTGATCCGCAATTAGGAGACACTGGTAGGCTGTGTTACACTGGAAAAGGCACAAAACCAGGGGGTCTGGTGATGATTATGGGAAGCTGCTTAATAGCTTCCTTAATGAGTCACAGAGAACAGAGTTGAACAGATACTATCCAAAATGTGACTGAGTCTGTCGTCCTGCCCAAGGCCTCTTCTCTCACCCAAGCAGCTTCCCTAGATCATCTCCCTGCCTCACCTGCAGCTTTCTAAGTCCTCAAGGGACAACCAGACCCCATGTATTTAGCCAGTACCATGAAAAAGATTTCCGTTAAACACAAATTTTAATCTGCTTTTGTCCCAGCAACAGAACCAATGCTATTAAATGTAACCCAAGGTTCTGACTTCTCTTCCTTATACACAGTAAAAGTTCTACTTTATGTAACAACATTTTGGCAGTGTCTCAGTTCCCAAATCTCTACCAACTCTATCCAGCCACTTCTTGGTCCAGCAAGTGAACTTGCATTACTGCCTCTCCTGGGAAGCTACACAAAGGAACGCCTTACCTGGGCTTCATTGAAGTCTTCAAGAATGTAGCCAGCTCCTGCTCGAAGCTGGCATTCTGTGTACTGCTTGTTGAAAGGAGGGATTTCTAAAAATTCTATTAAAAAACATAACCAAGATAATAATCACTACCAGTTGGTTCATTTGCTACTTTATGCCTGCTTCTTACTGTCCTCTTTCCTACTCCCCAGTTATCTCCACAATACTGTATCCCCAAAACAGGTAAAGGGCTTCCCCATGGGTCAGAAAGACCTGTCATGAGGCCTACAGAAATGCTGCCCAAAAAAGGGGCAGGAGCAGGAAGGGCAGGGAAGATGGGAAATGGAGGCAGGTCCCAGACTCGAGAACAGCGAAGGTTTCTGCACTAAGAACACGTCAGGGAACTGTGCCCGGGGACCGACACGCACCCTCCAACCTGAGTAACCCTTACCATCAGGAAGTTCTTCCGTCTGCCCTAATCTCTCTTGCACACTAAACCTATATCCTCTAATTCTGCCTTCTGTGGAGATGAAGAATGGCCAATTAGCACTTTTTATAATGAAGCCTTCAAATGTGCCCTTCATCAGCATTTTACTCCCTATCCAGCAAAACTGATCAACCAAAATGCTCAAAGAAAATGGGGTTTCTAAAACATAATTAATTGGGAGGTTAGCCAGAAGGGCCTAATTCAACCTGTTATTGCAAACTATCTACCTTTGACGATCTTGAAGTAGCTCAGGACACTGAACATCAGTGACTGCTCTACATTCTTGAGGGTGAAGCAGAAGTTATGAGAGATGAGGCTGAAGTTGTAATGACCCTAGGCAATTAGAAACTGCTTCTTTTGACCAATATCTAATTTGAGACTTTTCTTGTCATCTGCTCCTCTCATATAAATAACACATTAAAAAAAAAAGACATTAGAGATTTTATTGAATTAGGAGAGTTTGGAGAAATTAAGTTCTAATAGACTTATCACAAATAAAAAAACCCAACCAAATGTATAAAAAGTTCAGTGCCAGGACCACTCCCTTCCCCCACTCATACCAGAAGAACCTGCTGGAACAGACCCCCGCAGAGGCCGCCCCCACCCTTTGGTACCCTCCTGGCTGCCGAAGCTGCTCAGGCAGTGTTGGTGCCCAAACTCAAGCCTCTGTTCAGGTCTCACTGACCAGCCTATTTGCTTTTATTGCTCTTTTCTTGATTCAGCATTCTCCATATTATTCTCAGAATGAAAACTCAAACTAGAAACTGACTGGCTGTTAAGAAACTCAGAACCCAGCAAGACTATTTCTCAGTTTTGCCCTGGCATCCTTGGCCCTTATCAATATATCACCAACACTCTACTGCTGAGTCACTGCCAAGACCCCCAAGGTCCTTTATTTTTCTCAAGACTTCTATTTTATGTCTACTTGGCCAGAACTGTTTCTAGTCCCGACCTGTTTAGCTTTTAATCCCCATCTATATTTCCTTCATTTGTGTAATCAAATATTACCCTACCTTGGCAGTCCATTTCTAACTTTTCTCAGTTTGGATTTAGTTTTAATTTGGACTTCATGAGTGGCCCTGGTCAGTCAGAGGCTAAAATGAACAGATTTTTACTGCATCATCTAAATCAAGGATGAAGGTACCTAACTCTGAAGTCAATCCCTGTGGCTGATGGGTCCCTGATAATGTGCCACCTAACGAGATCAGGTGCCATATTCTTAACTCATTACTAAATATGTCTTACAACATGGATTCAAATATTTTACTGAGCTCCTGATACAAATAAAAGAGATTCCTGGTTATCTGCAAGACATATCACATAGTTTCTTAAAAGCTTATTAGTAAAGGACTGTTCTAATACAAATGTCCCCTGCTTCCTGAGATTGTGGAACCCTAAAATATACTATATACCAAAAATATCAAAAGATTCTGGTACTGCTGGAGCAATGTGTAAGGATGAAGGAGCAACATAAAGCATTCATCATAACTACATTTTCCACAACGAACATGGCCTGCTCCTCTAAAAAAAAGGTCCAAATTCCTCCTCACTTGAGACATAACCTATCCCTCACTCATGGTTGTAAGAATGAGATTTAAAATATTTGATGTATCTGCAAGAGGGGATGGAAGGAATTCTCAGGTTTCTAAGATCTCACATAGGCTCACAGATTTTTAAGGAATCTGACAGTCTGCATCTCATACCAAAGTGAGTTTTCTTAGGCATTCTGTATCAACCAACATCTACAGAGCTGCATTGTGAAGTCCTAGTCTAGGAAAGGGCTAGGAGTGTGCTGGAGAATGAAGACTAGAGTCCAGCAATATTGTGAAAGCAAAAGAAGACAAGACCACAAACATGGTTCTGATACCCTGACATACCCAATCACTTATGATCCAAATCAAACTACATCCTTGGCTAGGAAACCCCTCACACACCTGAATTCTGTCTGAAAAAACTAGGCCTGGGTCACACTTACTCTTGAAACCCCTCCACTGGACACCTGCTCCCACACCCTAAAGCCTCAATACTGATAACCATTTATGCACCTCCAGATAGTATACATTTCAATCACAATTCCCTGACCACCCTCCCCACGTCCCCATACAGAACTCCACAGAGCTGTAGCTGGTGAGATATAGTTTTGGTTAATTAGGAAAATCAGCCACACACCTGAAGTGCCAACCATCCTAGGTCTGCAGTTGGTGCTGTTTTCTGATAACCATGTTCCCTAATTCAATTCCTCCTGCAAGGCCCAGCATTAGTGAGAGGTCTAACTGGGAGTGTTAGCCTCAGCACACACACATGGATACTGCGCTGTCACTTGTATTACAATGTATGCTTGTACCTGCCCAGTTTTCTCACCTAGATCACACACTCTTTAGACAGTTTAAATAATTTTTATCTCTCCCCACTGCAGCCTTCACTCAGACCCTGAGAGACAACACAGAAATGCAATGTGTAAGGTTTAAGGTTGAAGAGACATACAGAGGTGAAAAGGCCTAGAGGCTGCTTGTCTGAAATCACCCGGGACCCTGAGCCCACCCTGCCTAGTCTGACACACAGACTCAAGAGAACGAACTTCATTCCCACATGTGTCTTCTTGGGCCCAGAGAATCCCAATGCGAAGGGCGGCCGGGCATTCAGGAATCCAACCGTGCTGGAGAAAATGGAGTTCTCGGTCCCGAGTCCACCGATACTGTGGGTAAAAAGCAATTATCTGACCTCTCGTAGCTTGTTTTCTCATCTGTAAGATGGATAAGACCTATCTCCCATCTGCCTCACAAAGACTATTTTGAGAAACTGCTGACAGAAATTCTGTGAGAGCAGTCTATAAACCACAAAGCAAGCAGGGTTAAATTCGTTTTCCCTGACCCTGACGCCAGTTGCCATGTGCCCCGCCGCCTCAACACGGTTCATGGAGTGAACGGGAAGGAAGGACGCGCACGGGGGGCTAGAGCCCCCAGGGCTTCTCAGGGCCTTACCCTCCTCTTCCTCGCTGCTTCCCGTAGGGCCATCTGGCAGTTTGGAGCGGCTAGCCAACTTGTCGCTTGTTGTGGCCATGGTGAGGAGAAAGGCATAGCCCAGAAACAAGGTCTTGTTGAGGGGCAGAGGCCCCCTCTGCTCTTCCAGGGCAGAGGGCTCACCCGGGTTGTCACCACTCTCACAGGGGCTCACAAACTCTCCTGCCCCCACCGCACCTGGGAAGGACAGAGGCACAGGGTACAGACCACGGCCTGGGCGCAGCAGGGTGGGCAGGCGATGTCCTGCGCAACTTTTCTGAGCTGGTAACCAAAGACCAATCCTACGGCCACCAACCTGAAAACAAACTCACAAGGCAGAGGGAACTCCCTGGCAGTCCAGTGGTGAGGACTCCACGGTTTCATTGCCAAGGGCCTGGTTTCAATCCCTGGTTGGGGAACTAAGATCCCGCAAGCCATGCCATTTGGCTCAAAAAAATTAAAAAATCTTTTTAAACAGTGCAGAGGAATTCTATGTATTTAAATTTTACAGTCATAACAATGTATACATTGTTTTCACAACTAGTAGTTTTTATAGAGCCAAATCAAAAACTTCTGAAGTCACCTGAACAAAAGGTGATTCTAACACAAAGTAAAAGTGAAAAATGATTGGAAACCTTCAGCCCACATTCCCTGCCTAGTGCTATTTTGAAGCAGCCTTTAAAAAGGTGGGTTCACCAAGAAATGTCCCCAGCAGATACTCCCCCCGTCCTTGAACCTCACCAGAACAGTGCACAGAATCCTTGGTAATAAAGTGCTTTTACATGTTGACAGAACCGTATCAAGACAGCCTGCTTCAACTGCCCCAGTTTCCAACACCTGGGAATGGGAAGTGGAACGGCCAGTCCAGGACTCCCAGAACACCCATGCGTGGAGTGCCCCAGTAAGTCCTCGAGGAAAAACACAAATACCTGGCTTGGAGAAGCTGAATCTTGGCTCATTGGGAGGCTAAGATGACAGTCAGGTTATGCCTCCCTAAAATAAAACCAGCAGCAAGAGAACAGTCTGATGTAGCATGTACAAGCCTGGACTTCACCGTCAAACTGCCTAAGTCTGATTTCTGGATGACTGTGTCACCTTGGAAGGTAAACCAACATTCTGCCTTAGATTCTTCAACTAGAAAATGAATTCCAGCACCTGTAACTCACAGAGACTGTATGAGATAAAATGTATGAAGCACTGAACTCCATGCCTTACATACCCTAAAACACAGCAGAGATATTAGATAGATACAGAGAAGACACAGGAAACAAAAGTGTCAGGTGCCAGGACATGTGACGACAACCAACTTCCTCAGTTTGCTAGACTAATAAAGCGCCCTGGGGCAGACACCAGAGATCCTACCTCCGTGTCTCCAGCATCCAGAGGCTGTGGCTGGGTCAGCACAGACCCAGTAAACAACAGATGGACTGAACTTCTCTACTAATATGCAGCTTGAGGGATTGGAAAGGGATTGTCTGGGGGCTAGTGTGGAAAGGGGAGACACAGGCTAAGGTACCAGCTTTCAACAGGACGTGTGGGAAAGCCAGAGGGTCCTGAACACAAGGGAGAGGGGAGCAGAACTTCCAGAGGAAGACGGTGCCAGATGAAAGAAGAGGTCCAGAAGAACTGAACCTCCTGTGAGTATGCCTAAAATCCACTACACATTTCCTCTCCCTCCCAGAACCGACACAGGGGTCGAGGGATGTTTCCAATCAAAGCCTGCCTTCCTTTCTGGTACCCGACTGGGCTCTGTTGGGAGATGGAGAGGTGGGCGTGTGCGGGCACTGACTCTGTAATCAGGAAGGAGCCCCCTGCTTGTGCCAGGCTCCACCTCTCCAGCAGCTGACCCTGCATTCTGCTGAGGTCTGGGGAACAAGGGGGGTAACAGAGAGCACTCACCAGGCTTCACAGTGGCAGATTTCCGGCCTCGCTTGGCAGGGGACCGCTCCTCTTCAGAAGTGACGAGCTTCCTTTTGCCCGAGGGGACCCCCGTGGTGGCACGAGGACTCTCTGGGACCTTTCGGGTAGGGGTTGTACTGCTGCTGCTGGAAGTGGTGGGGGTGGCTGGGGAATTGATGTTACTTCGCCGTTTCCGTTTCCCTTCCACCAAATTGTCTGCAATACAATGAGCCAAAGGCAGGTCATCTCCCATGGTCTGAGGCCCTGACCTCCAAGAAGCTGAGCACAGCCTGATTTAGAAACCACCACACCCTCTCCTCCACCTCCCACATGGGCAGGAAACCTCTTCCAAGGCCACCATATTTTGTTTCAGCTTCTGCCATGACTAAAGTGTGTTTGGTCCTTTACAGAACTGGGGAGGCCAGAAAAATCTGAGGACTTACTATTGAGTCCTGGCAAGAAAACAAGAGATAAGCAGTGGCTCCCAATATCTGAGAGTTCATTACCATCTCACAGACCACAAAGGAATAAGACTGAAGGAAGCTTTACTTCCCTTTACTCTAAAAACCACCACTCTGCCCACGAGTAGGCCAGGGGTCCAGAGGCAGCAGTTCAGGAAGCCAAGGTCTTACCTAAGCTGATATCTGCTGCCTTGGTGAGGGGCGTTACCGCCTCATATGGGCCCAGGCCATACTGCTCTCGCAGTCGGTTTCCTTGCTCCAAGGACAGGATGACAGCCATCCGCTTGTACCACTTTCTCTGGCCTTCTTTCTCAATGCTGTAGTACAGCTCTCCAGACTCCTTCCTGTGCCCTTTAACCACTCCTGGGTGGGGGAAAAACATAAAAGCAGCTTGTTTAGGCTGCTCGGCATCTACTCAGAGCAGGCCTGGATCATGGAGTTAGAGGTGGTCCAAGAGAGGACTGAGGTTAGGACTGAGCAAACTCCTAGCCATCAAGCCCACACACCACCACCACTCAGGAAGCATGCAGACACCATCCAGGGATTGGAACATGAGGGTTCCCAGCAGCAGGAACCCTCTAGTTACAAAATAAAGGTTCCTAAAGCCAGCCTTTATGGGTTGTTAGCAATTTCAAATGGTTCTCAAAATGAAATGCATGTGGTTTCTTAATGGTCCCATTATAACTTACTAAACCTTTCCTTCTTCGTTTCTTTGGAGGCTGGGTGTTAATTCTTGTCACAGATGAAAGATGACATCATCTCAAGAGAAAGCATGAGTGTGTAGCAAAATCGAAGTAGAAATACAGAGTGGAGAAAGGAAGGAGATAAATCCTGCCTCTCCTCCCTAAGCTTCCCTCTATTATCTGCTTCTCTGATCTTGCTCTGATTCAGGACCTAAAGATAAGGCCTCAAGATCAGAAGGAACTCTGATTCAGAGTTCCAGATCAAAAGGACACTGGGCTAGAATTAGGCCTGGACACTGAGTCTAGGCCTAATTCTGCTGCCACCAAGCTGTGTGATCTTGGGCAAGACCTATTTCCAATGCTATAAAAAAAAAACACCTATGTAAAGATAAATATAAAAACAGGGCACTAATGTGAATACTTTCTCTTTCCTATGAAGTGAAAAATCAATGTATTCTTTCCTGTTAGCCAGTACTTGAATGAAGGGTTAATAGAAACCCAGAGCATGTACCAAGGAAGTGGGAAAAAAAAAAAGAAGGAGAAAGCAGGCCTTGGTTCTCTCCTGATCTCTGCCACAGTCACTCACTCTCCCCTTGCTTGTTCATCTGCTGGCTTAAATCTCTATCACCACACTAAATCCTCAAGAACACAAGGCCAAGGTCAACAATACTCTTCACACTAATGAAGCGGTCTAGTCTAACATCAGTAGACAGCCTCAATAAATGGGACCCAGAGTCCCCTTCCCCTGAATACCACAATTCACACAAGATAGAGAACCATCTCTGTCTTCAGAGGGCCTAACATGGACTTCCAAGAGAGGCTTTACACTGGAAAGAGGAAAAAATGCATTTGACACAAACAATGTAAGTCACAGGCCATAAAAGATCTCAATCTATGCGCTACTGATGCTAAGTGAAGGTAAGTGTTACCCAGAACTAGAAGGTGAGGTGGTTCATTTAACAATGAAATAAAGTGGCAGACAGCAAACTACTGAGGAGTCCAAACACAACAAAGTCTGAAGAGAATTCAACCGATGCATTTTTGCCCAGTATCCCAATCACTGTTCCAAAAAGTCCCCATTAAAGAATGTTTTTAAATGACAAACTCAATGAAACATGTATCTCCAAATCACCTCATAGAAAACAGGCAGTACATTCAAAGAATGGACACATGAAATAGTCATGACAGGCAGAAATCTTTCACCATCACCAGTACAGGGGGCTGGCTACTTTAGTTTAAAAAAAAAAAAAAAGGCATGATTTCTCCAAACCAGAGAATAAGTGGTGTGCAGACATACAAACATAGCACTAACAACTTCTTCCTAAGTGCAAACACCTCAATATATCTGCCACTCTCACCAACTTAAGGTTCCCACCAAAACAGGTAGTAAGTTTACAAGTCAGAGTTGAAAGAACAGAAAATGGAAAAGGAAAACCACTAACTTTCAATGAAGAAAGTTGGCAAACATCACCTTCACCAGTGATGAAGGCGAACATCACCAGAGATGCCCTCTGGCTGTCACTGACTCCCCTCCCACACTCAGTGTGATGAGAAGGGCACTTCACTTCTGTAGCATTCTTTTCAAAAACTCACTAATGCCAGCCTAACCAAGAGAAAACATAAGACAAACCCAAACTGAAGGACTTTCAAAAAATACCTGACCAGTATGTACTCCTCAAAACTGTCAGGGTCATGAAAAACAAGAAAAGGTTCAGAGATTGTTACAGATCCAAAAACAAAAGACATGTGAGGACTAAAGGCAATACAGTAATCCTGAACTGGATCCAGGAAGAGAAAAAGGACATGGAAAAGCTGGTGAAATCCCTAAGTCAGGAATTGAGTCAATGGTAAAGTACCAAGGCAGTAGTCTTCACTCTCACAAAGGTACCAGGTTAATGCAAAATGTTAACAACAGGGAAGGGGACACTGCGTGAGAGGCGCAGGGGATGTCTCCATGCTGTCAGCACTCTGCGTGTTGCAGATTCTGTGTGTATATACATTTTTTCCAAACTACAAAGTTTATTCAAAAATAAACGAAGGGAACAAAGAACAACAAAGACGACAGGCGTGAGAGTACGCAGTGTTAGGAATGAAATTTCTGACTAGAGGACACAGAAGAGCACTGAGGCTAGAGTGAATGCTGCTGGTGTTGGAGGACCACAGAGGCGTTAGGAGGGGTCTGGCTTCTTCCAGTACCTGCACTGAAATACTCATCCTCTGAGAGGGCGGTCACTTCCGTGTCCAGGGGGATGGGGTCACACAGCAGGATGTCTTTGCCCAACACGTCACACTCGTATCCGTCATCAAAGAGCAACTTATACTTCCCAGCTCCGACATCTCGTGTGATTTTTCCAGAGTAAAAATAGCCATTGGATGACCACTTGGCTACAACACGGAGCCCGACAAAGCTGTTGCCTGGAGAGGAGGCATCTAAGCCATCTGAAGGGCCAGCAGCAGTCTGGAATGGAATCTCGGGAGAGTCGCTTCGACGCAAAGCACCAGCACCCGTGTCTGCCCGTCTGCTGGAGTCTGGCGCTCGAGGCATGATACGGGTGAAGGATTTATCGTCCGGCGACATGCTAGGTGAAATGTCCTCTATGCCCAAGGGGCCAGGCACAGCTGTTTCCCTAAAGTGAGATAAGAGACAGGAGAAGGCAGTGAGAATAAGCCAAGAGCAGTATGGATCTAACAATTTTCCCACTCCTCTGGCCATGGGTCTCTCCAGCCCGCTCGCTGCTAACCCCATCACAGGCAGAAGCCTGGTGTCTCAGGGGCCTCACTCTGATCCCGGCCCACTCCCCAGTCAGTGTGGGCCCCTCTTCTCCCTCCTGACACCCCACATACTCTCTGCTCCCCTCTCTTCTCTCTACTCCCTTTTTTTCTGAACAAGTCACAGACTAATGTATCTCACACTACCCGGGTACCTGGTTCCAGTGGTCCGAGAAGGCGGGCGGCCCCTTCGCCCGCGCCCACGAGGCGTGACTGGAGCCTTCCCTGCCTGTCTGATGCCAAGGCCCGCATCACCATCCTCCTCACACACTGGCGTCCCTGTCTGACTGACCCCTTTTCTAGGACTAGAGAATGAAGACAGGTTAGTCTGAGAGCGCCTGCTACCGGATCCTTTCTTCACAGTCTCCCCTCGGTCCTCAGACTACATGCCAGGCCAGCAAGGGCTGAGCCTCCAGGGCAGCAGGAAGCTGGTCCACACACCCACCACCAAATTAGCTGGGAGCGGGAATCCTTCTACATGCCAGTCTAGACCCTCCTGACAAAGCTTCCTACTGCTGCCCTCAAAAACAGCACATCCACTCCTGCCCTGCCTTCTCTTGTACTTCAGGCTCTGGGTACCTGCAGAGGAAAACAAAAGGCTAGGGCACGCGTCAGGTTGGGGCCACTACCCCGAGCTTCCTGGGCTCCCACCGAAACCCCCACAGGCCGCAGGAAGTGGGGGTGAGGGGCGGGAGCCTGCGCCAGCATTCCCGAGGGTCCCTCACCTGTTTTCCACAGTTTCTCAGGAGGTCTACTTCCCACAGGGCTCCCCCCTACCTCCCACGCAAACCCCAAACAGGAGAGGAACGAAAAGGGGAGGAAGAAGAGCTGATCGAGCCTAGGAGGGTGGGGGACTTCCCGTGACTCCCCTTTTCCCGTGACAGTAACACGTCAGCAACCCTGCCCCTGCGGTGGCTCTCTCTCTGGAGACCCTGTCTGCACCTCAGCTTTCCTGGGCCTCCTCGGGAGCTGGGCAAGGCAAACTCGGCAGGCTCTGTCCCGCTGGCTTTCCCTTTGGGTTGTCCGGCTCCTCTCCCGGAGCTGCCGCTGCTGTGCATGGCGGACAGGCTCGTCCCGCTTGACGTGCGGTGTAAGCTGGAGGCCTTGGAGGAGAAGGAGCTGATGTCCCCCAGGTCCCCTGAGGAGCCGCCAGTCTGTGAAGGGGAGACTTCCGTTTCGCACTCCTGACACTCTACGATGGGCTCTTCAGTCTCCTGCAAAGAAGAAAGGGATACAACGGCTTGGAAACGCCACGGGAACATAATGCTCCTGTAATGACTGGAGAGTCCTAGATGGCAAGAAATTTGTTTAGAGAGGTGGGAATTAGGGAGGAACTTTCTGGAATAATGGAAAGGTTCTGTTCTCTTGCTTGGAATTGTGGTGACATATCATTGTCAAAACCACTGAACTGAACATTTAAGACCCATGCATTCTAGAGGGAATATATACTTCAATAAAATAAACAAACAAAGGTGGTACTAGATCAGGAGGAGGGGACCTCTATTACCAGGAGCTAAGTTAAATTATCTTTTTACTGAACCAGTTCACAACCTTTGGCTGCTGAGATGCCAGCAAGATTCCAATGCAGAGGAGAGAGGTAACGCCCTAGGTGAAGGAATGCAGGGGAGCAGGCAGGTTAGAGTGGGGGAAAGAAAGGAGCCCTTCTGGGTATCTGATTACAGCAGTGGGCAGCCTGACAAGTTGTTTGAAATTAGGTATTTCAATATGTGAACAAGGAAATTAAAAATCACAGGCAAAAACAGATATAAAATGGTATTACTGTTTATAAAAATGAAGACCAAAAAGATAGTAAGCAAAATATATGAATTTCTGATACCTACAGAGGACAGGAATGTCGAACTGACTTTATCTCACTCCTGTGCCTGCTTTGATAGATTGGTAGTGGTTGCCTGGAGCTCAGTTTGAAGTAGCCTCTGAGGCTAATCCCCAGGCTTAATGAGGAAAGGCTCTAGAATCGACCGGCAGTGTCCCCTCTAGCACAAGACAGAGATTACAGGGCAGTTGCTGCCCATCTGCCTCCCTCCTCTAGACCGTCTGTGCATGATCATGCCGGCTGCCAGAGGAAAGATGGAGAGACAAGCAGAGGACAGACCCTCCCCTCAAAGAGTGGACAGTCTCTCTGGGCAACAGTACGCAATGTGCACAGGCACACACATTTAAATAATGATATTGATTAAATGATTATTTTTCACCACTCCTTTCTTGAAAATCTCTTCTCTAAAATCCATAAAGTCACTTTTTCTTCTTTTCATCCTACCTGTTCAGCTAGCTCCACTTGTACTTGTTTTTGGCTCCTCTTCCTCTGCCTATTCATTTTAAATTAGTATTTCCCAGGAGTCTGTTCTCATCTCTCTCCTCACTCTTCCGTGTTTTCCCTGGCCAGCCTTACATGACTTATTCTGACCTGTCTACCAACAACACAATGATGACTCAGCTCTAAGCTCTCACATTCAAATGCCTACTGAACTCTTACCCTTGGATGTACCAGGTACACCTGTATCTGAACTCCTCTAAAACTCAAACTGCTCTCCATTTCCTTGCCTTCAATGAATCCTGGACATCCCTAGTGCCTCTCACATCCCCTGCAGCTTTCTGTAGCAGGGGCTGATTTTCCTTAACAAAACCTCAATCCCTGGTTGGGAACTGGACCCCATACGCCACAGCTAAGAGCTCACAGGCCACAATTAAAGATCCTGGGTGCAGCAACTAAGACTCAGCACAGCTCAATAGATAAATAGAAATAAATATTAAAAAAAAAAAAAAGAATTTGGAGATGAGAGGCCTCCTTGCCTCCCACTGCCATTAACAAGATGATTTCTACCTCCCTGCTTCTTGCTCCTACCAAACAAACCATCATCTGCCGTTCCGTTAAACTCTCTCCTTGCCTCCTTGTCACTCGCCCACACCCTCCCAACCCTCTCACGCATGAACACCTTACACACCCGGTTCACAGCCTCCCCTTTCTCCCCCATGTCCATCATTATTTTTGAGGCTAACAACCAACTGATGACCCACTGAGCAAGAGGCTTTCCTAATCTAATCACACCTTTAACCTTTTACTCTCCTCTACCCCAGCATCTGCATCCACCAGCATCATTACCAGAACCTGTACCAGCTCCAGAAATCTCACCCCTCTCCACTCACCAACTCCTATCATTTATCACCTACTGTAGCCAGATCTGAGTCAGGATCATCTGCCAACACATGAACTAAAGCATGTGTTGGGAGCCCAGAACTTAAGTCAACCCCTTCTTGTGAACACAGCAAGCGAGCAGGGGCAAAACCAGTCCAGTGGGCTGGGACTCCAGGCAGCTTCTCAGTCAGACAGGAGACCCAAAGAGCAGCAGCAAACTACACCTGCTTTTGCAACTGTTCAGAAGTTCAGGCCTTGCTCTTATGACGACTTAGGTCCAGGTTCCAAGTTGGCCTGTGACGATCTTTTTAATGCATTTGCTTATTCTTTTTCCTGTGTTCTCTTACTAGATGCAGAGGCCACAGTAATAGCAACCATCTTCTTTCCTGGATTTATCCTCCAAATAGCACTATGCCTGCCACAAAAGTGGCTCTAAATAATATTTCCTGAAGGAAGGATCTTCTCTCATAAACCAGTGTACTATTTATACTCTCCCAGTAAATGGTACCACCATCTATTTGGCTTCCCTGATGGTTCAGTGGGTAAAGAATCTGCCTACAATGCAGGAGACAGAGGAGACATGGGTTCGATCCCTGGTCAGGAAGATCCCCAGAGGAGGAAATGGCAACCCACTCCTGTTTTCTTGCTTAAAGAATCACATGGACAGAGGAGCCTGGTGGGCTACAGTCCAAACGTTCGCTAATGGTAGGACATGACCGAGCAACAGAGCATACATCTATCTGCCCTAGCAGAAAGCCCAGGAATCATGTATGGTTCCTCCCTCTGCCAATAATCCCTGCGGTCAGGAATTCAGCAGCCCGTCAATTTCACCTTCTGTATGTTCTGCATGTATTTTACATCTGCTTCACTCCTCTCAATCCCTGCTGCCACTGCCCTAATTTGACACTCTCTGCCTCTGGTCAGAACTTTCCTCTAGCCTCTCCTGTTCCAATCAACTGTTACGCTGCTCCAATTAGACCTTCCCATGCAAATCTGAGCATATCATTTCTTTCCCCCAAATTCTTTAAAGGTTCTCCATCACACAAAAGATAAAAATCTAAAAACAAAAGACAGAAAAGATAAAAATGGAAACTCTTTTCTATGGTATACAAAGCCTCATGCTCTGGGCCCTCACCAACCTCAAGCGCATCCTCTTTCATCATTCCCTACCCTTTCGTTCCTGTTGCAGCCTAAATATTCATTCAGCATGCCACACTGTCTACAACATTTACAAGCTCCTTCACTCTGCCTGCAATGTCCTTCTCCCCTGCCCCTTACCCGCCACACTCGTGAGCGTACATCTTCTGTGAGGCCTTCTGGCCACCTTCAGGTAAGCGAACAGGCTCTGTGCCCTCTTTCTCACACACCTCTCCACGCCTCTACTTCAGCGACCACAAGTTCTGGATTTCCTGCACGCCAAGTGTAAGCTCCTAGGAGAATAAGCGCACTGTCTTTTTATCTTCGTAGCAGTGCTAGGAACACAGCAACACAGAAGTTGCTGGTAAATAAATGAATAAAAGATGATAATCAAAGGCTACAAGAGATGAGGGGAAGTTCCCAGAATCCTCTGACCTCGACCTGTCCACCTTCACACCTTCAGCCTGGCTGCCAACTGGACTGTTCCCACCTGTGTTCTCTTTCCTTTCTGCCTCTGCCTGTGCCCGCCAAGGCTTCTTTGTAAATGAAATGTCCTTTCCCTGAATCTCTCAATATCTAAAACCACTGAGTTAGACCTCAGTGTTCAACTAAATTACATTCTGGCCCTCACCCAAAGGATTTGTCAAAATTCCCTTCAGACAAGTTTCTTCCTCTTCTCCACTCCTACACAGACCTTCCTTTTGACACATGTCCCTTTCACTCTTAAAGAGACCGCACTGCAGTAGTCAGGAAGGCAGGCTGTGGAATCAGACTGCCTGGAATAAATTCCACTTCCTCTGTTTATTAGCTATACAGCAATTAAGCAAGTGATTTTAACTGCTATGCTTCAGTTTCTTGAGTGCAAAATGAGAATAATATCTACCTCATACCTTAGTTGTGAGAATTAAATAAGTTAAATCACTTAAAAGTCCTGAGAATAGTGCCAGGCATATAGCCAGTGACCAATAAATGTTCAGTTCAGTTAGTTCAGTCACTCAGCCACGTCCAACTCTTTGTGAACCCGTGGACTGCAGCACGCCAGGCCTCCCTGTCCATCACCAACTCCAATGAATGTTAGCTGCTATTATAATTTTATTTAATTACGGCAGTGTTTCCCAAACTATGTAACATAGGGATATAATAAACATTACTGTAAAAAATGTTCAATGGTCAAATAAGTTTGGGAAATTCTGGGTTACACAATAAAATAAATATCTTTACTATAAGACTTCTAAAGGCCTTTAATGTAATACGCACTATGAATTCCCACAGTGGGGTAAGGGATGGTTACAGTTCTTGGTATTTTCTCAAACTTAATATTTAAGACCATGGTATTTTTTTCCCTCTCAGAATATCTAGCAACTCTACTGTTTCCAGATATATACTTTAAAAAGCATCATAAATGAAGTAACAAAGTAATATGTGTAACACTTAAAACAGCACCTGGCACAGACTTCTCTGTAGACTACAACAGTTATAAAAACTTGTCATGAAAGCAAATTGTTTTTCTATAAAGCTGCTAAATTCGTAATTTCTCCAAAATAGCAATAACATTGAAAAAAATTTTGTGAACATAAAATTGAAAGTAGCATTCCAGTTCAAGATGGTGGAGTAGAGGAACATGCACTCATCTCCTGCGAAAGCACCAAAATCACAACTAGCTGTTGAACAACCATTGACAGGAGGACGCTGGAACCCACCAGAAAAAGATACCCCACATCCAAATGAAGAAGCCACAGTGAGATGGTAGGAGGGGCACACTCATGATAAAAATTAAACCTCACACCCACCGGGTAGGTGACCCACAGACTGGAGAAAGGTAATACCAAAGAAGTTCTCCCACTGTTGTGAAATTTCTGAACCCCAAGTCAGGCTTCTCAGCCTGGGGATCCAACAAAGAGACTGGGAATCCCCAGGGAATTT